CTAATTAAATATCATTGATCTAAACTTGTATATTGTTTATTCTAATTATATAACATAAAATTTTTGTTTCTGAGTATTGTATAGAGAAATTTGTTTATAGAATTTGCACATCAAAAAAGGTGATTTGCACATTACAAGAAAGTAGTTACATATTAAGGAAGATGATTTGCACACTGTGATGTAGATCCTTATGAAAGAACATAAGAATCCATATGCGAGTAAGCATCTATTATATATGAGTGAGAATCTGTTATATGCGATTAGCTTTTATATTAAGAATTAACATGCAATACCCATATGCAAGTAGAGACATGTCATGCAAGTGAGCAACTATCATATTCAATGAGTCATATGCAAATAAGCATATATCATATGCAACTAGTCATATGCAAATGAGGATTCATCATATTTAATTAGTATCCATTAGGTAATATAGTCTTTTTCTTATCGCACTTACTTGTATTGTAGATCCTATTTCCCAATTAATTTGTTAAAAGGGGATTTATAGCCTATTTTCCAAAAAAAAAAAGAGAAGTTAGTTTTGATTTCACCAACAGTTACATATATTCTATAGATATATTCACAAAATATAAAGAAGATTTATTAGATTCTTTTACCCGAGATTAATTTATTAGATATATTAAGTATTAAACAATTCACTTCTGATATTTATACTATAAAATTAGATTAGTTTAAACTTTAATAACATAATTTGAAATAATTGTTTGATAACATCCACTAATTTAATAAACATCTGAGCTGTAAATATACCCATGAAATTCTTTTGTATGCACATCTAATATTATAAATGTTCCTTGAGTGCCAAAATATACATAAAAATTTGAAATTATGGATAAAATATCATGATTCATGAGTGTTAAGTCAATCAATATTAAATAGTAAATAAACACATCAATTAAGAAAATAATGCAAAAATATAAATAAAATTTTTAAAATGATACAAAAATATCATAACTATCAAGTGAACTAATATTAACCATTTAGCACACAATTCTTACATGTATTGCACAAGATTTTCACTCGCAGTAACTTGTCTTTTTCCATTACGTAATGGCTGCATAACTTGCTCTGCTTCTTTGGTTTTTTCATCATCAATGAATATGATTAGAGAATTTAGATGTGTTGACTTTTGTGATAATGAACCAGTCATTTTCAATCTCATCTTCATCATCCTCATCTTTGTCTCTTTACAACACATGGTTAATTTATAACAATACCCTTAATGAAGGGTATTGAAAGACGCGCAACGGAATAAACTTTAAAATTTTCAATCCCTTGCCCGGATCGGATTGTATTTAAGTCAAGTAGTAAGAAGCATTACCTTCGATGTTCGGTTTCTTGGTGACTCGGGGATTCCGCCATTCAGGATGCCTCTGCTCACCTCTTTTATCGCTCGAAGTCGACAACTCCGGTCGGCTTCCTCTACCGGTATCCACACGAATAGCTCTCTAATCACGAATGATGTGCTAGCGCCTTTTGTCCGTCTAGGGTTTTTTTTCTCGAAGAATCCGTCCTACCTTCTCTATTTCCTAACCGTCTCTTATCTGCAAGCTTTTTGCACTCTCACCCCCAAAACCCTAGCTCCTAATATCGAATATATAGGATGCTATAGGTTTTATAAAAGATATTTAATTTCGAAATTAATCTTAAATTAATTCTGAAATTAATACAATATCAAATATTGCGTAACCAGATAAGAAAACAATTAAATAAATGTGGTTTATATTAAATCCGTCCTACAGATTTAATTCACCTATTTATTTAATTCATAATAAAGATATGACGGAATTATATTTGATTTATTCTCATAAATCAAATTTGAAATATTATATTATATCTTATCAATTTAAAATTGATATATAGATTTAATTTATCCTAATAAATTAAATCTAAGATATATATATTTCTTATATATAATATGTATATATATACGAATTTATATATATATACGTCCACCCTATATTATTCATTGAATCTGGACATATCTTAGATTCAATGAATCTGGACATCATAGCTCGTGTTGGGCTATTTTGTGTGCGACCCTGTAGGTCTATATGAAGTTGGCAGTGGGCCATTAACCATAATGACTCACAAGTCGTAAGCGGTCTCTAGCAAGACATCACGACTACCCAAATCATATGAGGATCGTTGAACGATGTAACTTTTCATACAACTATATCATGTCCCTTTTGTCACACGACATTTTGGTCATGGATGAGGCATGGAGAACGTCATCCTCCTATTCATGACCATCTGAGTATAGAAACAGAACTACCTTTCTATTATAGTATGGCCATACATTTCTCAGACTCACTCATCGAGAGGTCCAGTAATATCTCTCTACGAATGTGAGGGACAAATTCCATCTTGACCATTCACATTCCTCCGCATGAAAAACCACTAAGCCTGAACATAGTCTTTATGATCACTCGGTCAAAAATGACTTTTGACTAGGTCAAAGCTGAGCGTTTCTCATGTAGGAATCCATGATGATCTTAGGTCAAAGGGCACAGTGACATGGTTTGTATATGAGAGAAGCTTATGACTTAACCCATGCAGCTCTCTCATAGCGGGTCGGTCCAACACCTTGTACTCTTATATGTGCCTATGACTTTGATTTATATCTCCATATATCTTCAAAGTCATACTGGTCTTATTTCATCTCTGCTCTCACATAGATGACCGACCAGGGATATTTAGAATAAATCATGAATTATCCAAGGATAATCATCATAGTAAACATGCAAATAATATGATAACATAATTAAGAAATTCATAAATCAACAATGTTCATAACACAATGATTGGCCCCTAGGGCACAATTTCCAACACTTAATCCATAGCTTGTTAACTTTAATGCAAAACATTTGACGTCAAAGGGGGAAAAGAAAAAGGATGACGAATGATGCGACTAGGAGAACAACAACTTTGGCACCATTAAGAACAAAAACGCTATGCAACATACATAGAGACTATTTGATAAACGATCTGTTTACTTAACAATTATGATATTTTTATACATTTTAAAGATTTTATGTATTTTTGTATCATTTTCCTAATTGATATGTTTGCTCAACATTAGTTGACTCAACAATCGTGACATTTTTGTACCAATTTTGGAACATTCATGTATATTTTTGTGCCTAAAAAAGTTCATTGTGTTTAGTGCGTATTGAGAAATGTTTCTTGGATAAATTTGCACCTCTACCCTTTGAAAAATAATAAAAACTTAGTTATGGATTTCAAATTTATAACTATATAATAAAATTAAAAAAGGAAAACTAGTTTACAGGTCCTTATAATTTATATCAATTTTGAATCAAGTCCTTATAATTTATTTCTTTAGAATCAGGCTCTTATACTTTAATCCGTTAAGTCCATCCACTCCTTAGAGTCTAAACTGTTATAACACCATTAATTTTATTGAGTTGGAAGCTAACTAAGCTAACACAGACAAAACAATGCGACGTGGTGGCCAAGTAGATTAATTCCCAATGTTGAGACTCTATAGTGCCGCCTCATCTTCCTCTCATCCTCTGGCTTCCTAAGCACATTCGCTAATAAGAGGAAGAAAAATCACTCTCTATCCCCACCCCTGCTAATGAACAGTTTCAAAGGAGAGTTGAGAGATAATGCCCAGTTTCTTCAAGCTGTTTAAGCTTCTATGCAAAATTGGCTACGAGAAGTATAGGGGTTGGCCTTCCATCTTTTTTTCCCCCCCATTTTCATTCAATTCTTCAAATTTCCTCATATCGAAGTAGAGAGGTTGTTGGGGTAGGGAGAAACAATCATTGGATATCATAATGTAGGAGGATGAAAGTGGGCAACACGTATATACTGTTCAAAATATAAAACTTTTATTTATTGAATCGAAATGAATTGTGAATTTAAAATGGAGGAAATATTTGAAGGGTTTGAGTTGCTGATCAAAATCTTAATTGGCAATAAAACTTAACATATGGGCTTTTATTGCATAAGATTCTTTTTCAATGAAATTGAAATATGAGAAGAAGAAGTATGAAATCTAGGAGGGTCCCAGTGATGATGACAAGCGAGCCATGTCCCTGAATCAAACATTAGGTACTGGTGATCCAGCGGATGCGGCGATTAAGAGAAATTTATCTTTCCTCATTTGAGAGTCATTATTCTTCTTTCTGTTAGCGGTTGTGCTAAAGAACTTAGGGTGAGATGAAGACGAGGCTGCACGATGACCGGTAAAGACCCTGAAGTCCTGAACACTGGGAATTAGTCCACTTGGCAGCCAAATCACATTGTTATGTTTATGTGTCAGCTCAATTAGCCTCCAACTCATTAAAATTAACAGTGTTATATCATTTTAGACTTTTGGGGATAGATGGACCTAATGAATTAAAGTATAAGAGCTCGATTAAAAAAAAAATATAAGGACCTGATTCAAAATTAATATAAATTATAAGGACCTGCAATTTAGTTTTCCAATTAAAAATTAAAAATTAAAGATATCTCAACAAATAATTTTTTTAATATAATTATCTAATTGGGTCACACAAACCCAAACTTGTGATCTCGTGCTTAAGCATCCAAATATCTTTCCATCAAATATATTTTATTATTTTATATTTCTTTTAGACCTTGTTATAAGTAGCTTCAACATGTTTCATATTATAACATTTTTTTTAAATCATTAATTTTTTTATTATTATATCTACTGGTTTTAATTTATATAAAGTTGTTATAGATATTTGCAATTTGTAATAAGGATAGGAGAGAGTCTAGTCATTATTATTTTATCAGATTATCTTTATTTATTTTCTTAAACACCGTGTAATTTAAAATTTTTGAAAGGCACGTGTATAAATAATAAAACAAAGATTGCGTATGGTGTGCCGGTGGTGTGAGCATGTGCGGATATTTTAGAGATGGTTGTCTACGTGTCCATATCTAGCCCACTCAAACATGCCTTCGAGCTCTCCCACCACGGGAAGCCCATCCTCAAGCCTGTGTCTTCCACTTCCCCCACCTCACTTCATTCTCTCACGAAACCAGATTCAAACAATAATCTACAAATACTTCAATCGTTTGCAGCATTTTTTGTGAGACAATTTCGGTTTCAAGTTTCTTTCAATTTCCGACTTAACATCGGCGTCACTCGTTCATTTTCCGACAATGGCCTGTGCATTACAAGCAACCTTGGCAGCCAACAGCTGCGCGTTTTCTTCTCGCAGATTCTTCATGAAACATCAGAGAGCCAATAAGCGAAGCAATGGATTGTTCACAGTGAGAGCTTCCTCTGAGGATGATGACTGCAATGAGGAAGAATGCGCCCCCGAGAAGGAAGTGAGTTCAAATTTTTGTTATTCTTTTTTAATTTCTGTTCAGATGAATGTTGTGGTCGTCTTACCCTTTTATTAGTTTTTGGGGTTATCTGGTTGTTGTTTTTCCTTTCTCATTGTTCCGTACCGGAGAAAATGCGTGTGGAGATTATGTTAGAATACACATACGCATATTGGATATATTAAATTAAATGGAAATAAACTAAGATGCCTATGAACCTTCGATGAAAATTTGAAGTACAATTAACCTTGGTTTGGACCTTTTCTCTGGGCTAGTATTTAGTACCAGAGAAAATACTTGTTGGAATTTATCTCTAGAGAGAATGCTGATATTAGACATAAGTGGACAGTTGATAATTGACGCGAATCCACATGATCAATAGAAGTATTGCAAATACCTTAATTATAATGATGAACAATGATCGAGAGGCTGTATCTCAAAGCTGCATTTCTGTGGGAATTACAAAAGCACGAAGAGTGTAATTAAATTGAATTTTATTTTGTGCATAAACTCACTTTAACAGAGCAGGTGATACCATTTTAATGGTCTTTCTATGATTATACTTCATATTCGAATTTTGTGGAGGATTGTTTCTCAAGGAGGAGACTGAGAGCTTTCTAGTTGTATGTTAATGGGACATTGTAATTGATTTACTAGATAGATATGGTAAATTCTTTAATTGTTGACGGGCTTAAACACATCCATTTATTATTAAAACCTTTCAATTTCCGTTAAGCCTATATAAGCTTGCTCCATGTGCTTCCTGTTATGATTGCATCCCAATCCTGATGGTCTTTCCACTGTCATGACTATAACTCATAGCGAAAGATAGCAGAAAGCTTCACACCCTTGTGGTACTTGCTATTTATGATTTATAACAATCTAGATGTGATTGACACATCTAGACACATAAAAATGAGAAGTCGAAAGGGATGATAACATTTCTGTTCCATGATGATTTTAGGTTGGGAAGATCAGTGTGGAGTGGTTAGCAGGGGATAAGACCAAAGTGGTAGGTACATATCCACCTAAGAAGCAAGGTTGGACAGGTTATGTTGAGAAGGACACTGCTGGACAGACAAACATATATTCAGTTGAGGTTAGTAATTTTGTGTTTTGTGCACTCATTAAGGGTTGCACGTTTGATTTTATATTTTTGTTCTTCAACATATTCCTTGTCACTCTTTAGTGAGACCAGTTGTTCAACATCATACATCTAGTTTTCAGAGCATTTGGAAAAATAAGATACCTGCATGGTGAATTTTATTGTGAGTTTTTATATGGGTTGAGGAGCATCCAACACCTTGAAGTATTTTTCTAGTAGCATTTAGTATCCTAAACTAATCTTTGATGTATCGATCAGAATAAACTATTTTTTCCCGGTATGTAGCATCCAAATTAATTTTTGTGCATTAAACACTCTAAAGTATTTTTCCAGTAGCACTTAATATTTTAAGTTTAGAGTGCTATGAGAAAAACACTTTAAGAACAAAATTACACCAAAAATTACTTTAGGATGTTGGGTGCTACTGAAAAAATATTTTAGCATGATAAATGCACTGAAAATTAGTTTGGAATCCTTAATGCTACTTGAAAAATAATTCAAGGTATTGGATGCATCGTAACCCTTCTTAAATTTAAAATAATTTCATGAAGTAGTTATTCTGAGCCAATTGATGCATGTAATTATTAGATATAGAAGGAAATAGAATGAGGAAGTGAGTGGAATTGACGGAAAATGACTTCCATACCCATATGTAAATAATTAATAAAAAAGACAGGCATTATTTAATAATAATAACAATTGAATATTAGACATTGCCCAAAAAAATTTACTTTTCTTTTTCCTTTTCTATCATGCTACAAAACGGCCCAATTGATGATCTCATTTGAGTAAATTGTGCTCACTTTAGTGTCTAGCCATCTTCATCATGAGCTTCCTGGCAAGCTGTGTGGATATATCAGTAATTTGAGTAGGATTCGCCTTTAATTTGACTTGTTCATTATATATCTATTTCACCTTCTTGTAATCTGCCTATGATACACCCACTGTGTACCTAAGAATTTCTCACATTTTTGTGGTAGTTTGATGTTAATCTGATAGATTGTGATCTTTCCAGCCAGCAGTTTATGTAGCCGAAAGTGCTATAAGTTCTGGAACTGCTGGTTCTTCATCAGATGGATCTGAGAACACAGCAGCAATTGCTGCGGGCCTCGCCTTGATTTCTGTCGCTGCGGCATCGTCGATACTGCTACAAGTCGGTAAAAACCCTCCGGCTCAGGTTCAGACAGTTGAATACTCAGGACCATCACTCAGTTATTATATCAGCAAGTTCAAACCACCAGAGCTTGTTCAGGCTTCCGTACCAAGCCAGACAGAAGCAATACCATCAGCAAGTCCAAGCACAGAGGAATTACCGTCAGTTGCCCAGTCTGAAGGATCTCCCTCAGAAGCTCCCCAAGTTCAGGCTCAGACCTCAAGTGAGAATGTTGTCTCATAGGCAATGCAAATTATGCAACCCCTTTTTCTGTAAGAGCGCGGATTTAGATCTTTTGAAGTTACTTCAAAAGGTAGTTTGAGGGAGAGAGGAGAAAATATAGGGTACACGTTTGCTTCTTGAGTCCTACATGCGTGGACTTTTTTATTTTCTTGTTCTTTCTTAACTTTCTCTGAAGTTATTTTCAGAAGATCTGAGTCCCCAAAAACACAATAGTAGGGTTTATTCTGTATCAATAGTATAATTCTCTACATCATGAGTTATATATATACACATTAAAGTTAGTTATATGACTACTGGCATGTAACAGCTAATCAATTCTTGCCGAGTGTGCATGTTTTCTTCATTTTAAATTAGTTAAATTATGCAAAATTCCCATGTTATCATAGGTAACTAGCCTCCGTGACCTTTGAAACTTTACGAAACGTTCATGAATTTTAGCATTTGCATAGATAATATGCATTAAAAAAAATAAAGTGCAAGGAAATATAAATTTAACAGTTTGGGATTATCTGCATAAATTTAAAAGTTTTTGAGGTTTATTGTTAAAATTTAAAAATTAAGGAGGATATTTATATATGTTTATTAGTATTTAGTTTAAGAAATTTCAGCATTTTTAAATTCTGAAAGTAGTTGTCGGCAAAAAGAATTCTGAAAGTATTTCTTTTTGCAAGTCTCTCATTTGATTACCAATAATAAAGCTCAAGAAGTTTCTGCCTAAAAAATGGTGTTTGACCAAGGCTTTAAGTTCGGATGCTATTTACAATTGCAAATTATACCCTGTTTGGTTAAAATATGTAATACTTTACCAAAATAACGTGTGGTACTTATTATATTTTTATTGCCATGATTAATTGTTAATAGTAATTTTTCATTAAAACAAAATGTTTTTCAAATTACTTGTGTGATTTTAGTTTGCATCACCCTGTCGATATATATAATGAAATTTATAGCAAGATGTACTACCAATAAATTATGTCAATATGATTCATTGACTGGACCACGAGATTTGTGCACACCCCTGAACTGGAATGTGGACTAAAATTTATATGTAGGTTTTTTTTTGGACTCAATAATGAGCCTTCAAAAGCCTTGAAGCCTTTTAAAAGGCCAACTTAAAATGTTGACCTTTTAAATAGGTTTAAAAGTGTATGTATAACTTAAAATGTTGACTTTTTAAATAGGTTTAAAAGCATATGTATCTTTTCAAGTTAATGTATAACTCTTCGGGTCTATTTAAAAACATATTCTTTTGGGTTAAGCACAAGTAGCCTCTTATTAAAAATTGTTCTATAAGATTTGAACCAACAACATTAGGTTTTGGAGACCTGTGTTCTATCGAATTAATCTTGTATGCATATGTTATCATAATCTATGTATATATATATATATATAACTCATCATATATATTGATAGAATGTCCATCTATTTCTATTGAGCATGTATGTTTATTTTTTTAATCGGTCTCCATTGATCTTTTGTTACTGCTCATAAGATAAGTAATAGTTAGGAATAGGGATGATAGGATTTGAACCTGTGATATTTTGTAGCCAAAACATACGTGGTACCAAGATGCACTTCATTCCTTTCAATTGGTTTAGAGTGCTATATTGCAAAGAATCTTTGTCTTGTTTTTCATATCTCGATTTTCTTGGTTGATATATATAGATCATGTTTGAAACACTCTTGGGTACTAAATGTGGATATCTTTTCTAACAGGATTTCATACCTTTAAAAACATATTATATGTTTTTTCATTAAAAAAACATATTATATGTTTTTTCGTTATGTTTTAAGTGCTTAGAATTCATTCTCACCTACAACATAAGAGATTAGTATGGGAAAAAAGAATATATAGTGACAACAGTTGTTTAAGTAAAAGTAAGAAAAACCAATCATTCATTGACTAAAGAGATATAATTTCCAAAAGCAACTAAGCATAAGTGGCACGTAAAACTAGATTTTAACTAGTTCACTTTTGTTGCATAAATTGGAATAAACTCCATTTACTGAGATTATAATATTTTATTTAAACATCACTAAAATTAACTTATAGCAATTATTATGCTTTAGCAAATAATGCTAATCGAGAAAGAGGAAGTGAACTAGCATTGCCATCTCGAGTTATCAAAGAGAAGAGAGGTAGAGGTAAACAATTGATGAATGAAATGGCAGATCTTGTGTGTGAATTAAAGCTGTAAGTAAATAATTTTATAAATAACTTACCAAATCGATTTAGGTTATAATATATATAATTATATATAATAGTGCATATTTAAAAAAAAATCTAAATAGGGGATAATTGTAGGCTTGTAAGCTAAGGCTTATAAAAATAGGCCTGATATAAGATTGGGCTTGAGCTTAAAGTAGGCTTGAGCGTGGCTTTTGATATCACTTGTATAGTTTGTTAAACAATTTGTTGATTTTAAAGGACTTTAGGTTAATATTTACAAAAGTAACTCTTATCTCAACTAATTTTTGTAAATTGAAGTTGGGGTAAAAATTAATTAGTATAATGTAATTTATATTTAAATAGACATTTATTTTAAAAAAAGCTGATTGACAAACTGAAATTGTTTTAAATAATAAAATTGAAAAACATAATTAGATATAAAATGATTTACAAATACATTAGTTTAAGTGTTTTTGTGTGTGTATGTTACGAATATAATGCGATGATTTTAAGGAATATAAAATAAAAAAGGTTAATGTATTATTGAAAAAGTTTTAAATATTGAAACACTTAATTAGATTCATTAGATATATTGAATGGACAAAAAAAAATACAAATTGCAAGTCATGCGAATGTCAAATTTTTTAACCAAATATTGTTGTTATGACTACTTGGATGTCATTACTACAAAACAACACGTAATTAGTGGCAGAATTTAGTAATAGAATTAATAATAAAATCAAATTAGTGACAGAATTTTTTATCTTTTTTTTTTTAATTTTAAAATTCCATGCAACTCCTCCATTGATTGTCACCTCATTACTAGTGATGACCGCCAACCACCTCGCCACTACATGTTACCATCGTATAATTTCTTCTCAAAGTGACTTCTCCACGATCTGAATCAAAGACCCCTTGTGCATATGCGCACGTCTTCATCAATTAAGCTGGAATGAACCTACTAATTTTAACGCAAATTAAAAATATATATATAATATTCTTTTACCTAAATAATTATCCATACACATATATATTATTAAAAACTAAAAATAAATTATATAATAATATTAATTTTAACTATTTTTATGACACAGTAAAGTTTCAATATCTTTGTTAATATTTATTTTATAATATTTTATTTCTTTTAAAAATTATTTTTGATATAATATTAATTTTTAATGAAATTAATTTTAAATTTTAAATTGCAAATATTTTTTTGTAAATATGTTTTTTAGATAATTAATTATCGATCCTTGGATCAAATTAAATTAAATTTAGGGGGTATTTGGCAAAACCAAAACCAAGGTTTCAGAATCACTTTTCCGCAAAACGAAATAACTTCCTCCACATATTTACTTCGTAATCCGTAAAAACACTTCTAAAACCATGGTTTGGTTTCTATCCAAACACCCCCTTAGAATGCAGCAAGTAATGTAAACCAAAGTTGTTGAGTCAAAAATTAACTAGTCTTAAGTTAACTAAAATTAAAATTGCTATTAAAATAGGTTTTTTCAGTTAGGTTTTTCAAATTTAAAAACTACTTTGCAAATAAATTAAAAACAATTCTGAACATTTTTTTAAACTTTATTTTATATAAAAAAATGAAAAGGTAATTTAAAATTGAAAATGGAAGAAAATTAATAAAAAAAGATAGCAAATGATAAAATTTGGATTTTAGGAAAATATGAGGAATGCTTCTTGAAAAATAAAAATTGGGTTATTCTTACTCAAAATGATTTGAGAGTTATTTCATTTATTAATTTAAAAACAAAATTTTAATCACCAATTAAGTCAAGTAATCTTAATCAATGGATGTCCTACAAAAATGCCATTGAAAACCAATTAGTGAGCAATTAGGATATAAATCTCAAACTGCATAATTCAATCTCAATCACAAAAATTCAATCCCAAACTAGAAAATACAACAATCTGAGAAAATTTAATCAAATAATATCAATTCTAACTTAAAAAATCCATTACGAATCAAAGAAATTGGGACAGAAAAACTTTCCTAATTAACTAGGAAGCTAAAAATCAATCCTCCGCCCCTAAGCAGCACAATGAGATTAGCTACCCATGATTTTGAATACCGCTAGCATCAGTTCACTGTGCAAGTCGGCCATGGAAAAGTAGTAGTTAGCGTTGATGATCTGGCCGAAAGTGATAATGAAGGAAGTAACAGAGCTCGCTGGCGTGGTGGAGGAAAGGGGAAGATGACGATGATGCTGCAGACTCACCAGCGATTAACAAGGAAGGTCGCTACTTGCTGCCTCGCCCGTTCCTGCATTAATGATGAAGGTGCTCGATGAGGATGGGGATGAATGATTCACGGTGAATCTCGCTCAAGCTCTCCCTCTGCCGTGTGCTCTCGCCGTCTCTCTCTCTCTCAGCCCTGCCCCGCTTTCACACTTACAGATGATGAAGGTTACGCAGGATGATGGCTGCGTCGATGATGATGGATAGTGGTTGGGTGTGTGTTGAGTAGTGGTTGGGTATGAAGGTGAGTTGAAGGGTGGTGGTGAATCGTCAACCGTGTGGATGACTGGCTTGCCGCCAGGGCTGCGGTGAGCCTGTGAGGATGAAGATATGTGAGGGGTGGGATGGAGAATCCACCAAATCTCGCCGCCGTCCTCTACTTTGAATTTTTTTTTTTTTTTTGGCAATTCTTTAGGCCCTCAATTGTTTTTTTTTTTTTCAATTTCAGCTTCTCATTTAATTTTCCGACAATAAAATCCAAAAAAATATAATATTATAAAAATATAATATTTTTACTCTTTTTCGTAATATTTTCATCAAATTATATTCAATTCAAATTAATCATAATTAATGCATTTAAGCCCAATAAATATGATAAAATCCTTAAATAAAATATAAAAAATCATAATAAAATAAGAACTTATAAGATATGTAATTTAATTATATATTTATTATATTGCATTATATCATATTATCTATTTTTGTTTTATATATTTGATGAAAACTATTTATAAGTAGTAAAAAAATCTAATTATTTTAAAAGATAATTATTATAATAAAATGTAATAAATTGTTCTATATAAAAAAATTAATTGATTAGTATTGATTATAATAAACATCATTTTCTTACTTATGTGTGTATCCTATATAATTTTTTTAAAAAAATTTTATATATACAATTTGTTTTCATGATCAAATTTTATTGTTTAATGATTCAAATTCTCGATTCAATATTAGTTTGATCTATAATTATAAATTGAGCTTTTCATATAAATTCATTATTTAGTTTTGAATTTCTATCATATGTTACATCTTTCAAAATAGTGTGTATATATAATAGAATTATTTCTTTCTTATATTAATTTGCATAAGAAAGTTATTAATATTCTTATCATATTTGTTTAATTATTAATAATCAAGAAGAAATGATTTTAATAAAACGTAAAACAAGTTTTCTAAGAAATTCTCTTCCTGTTTCAGTATGTATCTAATGATGAGATGAATAATCTTGATATCTTCATTAACACCAACTCCACAAATATATCAATTTATTTTACAATTAAAAATATACTTAAATTATTACATTCTTAATTATGTTATTATACAAATTTTTGATGGATTAGAGATGGAATTAGTGACATAATAAACTTAGCAACGGAATTAATAATAAAAATTTCCAAGGCAAACAATTTAGTAGTAGAATTAGCGATGAAAAAATTTTATCACTAAAAATTTTATAATTAAAATTAGTAACGGATTAGCGATAGAAATTCTGACAAAAAAAATTACATCACCAAAAATTTACCAATAGATTTTTTGATGGATTAGTGATAGAATTTATGGATGGAATGATCTTCCGTCACTAATATTAGCTGTTCCTAAATTTAGCAACGGAAATTTTCGTCAGTAATTTGTCAAAAATTAGTTACAAAATAATTTTTCGTTGCTAATTCTTTTGGTAGTAAGCTATGTTTTTTTTTTGCAGTGCATATATATTCAATACAATTTGATCTCTAATATTTGGTTAACTAAATAACAGCTCTGAATAGATTATTATATGTATTTGCTGCATCTATAAAATCATGTTAAGCTTCATTTTTTTGGATATTAACATTTTGCTAAAGAAATATTGACGGAAAATTAAATTAAAAAAATAAAATTCATAATGATCATTCCTTCAATTTATTCATTTTAAAAGACATAATTTTTTAAAATCATAAATTATAATAATGACTTTGACTCATTTGACTCATTTCTTCATATGGTAAAATCAATTCTGTATACCAAGCAATTGCTGGAAAATTTCTTATGTAAAATAGACTTTGCTTTAGACTAATGCTTATGTAAAGGTGGAGGTAGTAATTGCTGGAAACTTTTCAACACAGGCGAGTGAAGGTAGCAAAGGCCTGTGTCATGTTTCTTTGTCAAATCTATGGTCAGTTTGGTGGCAATATATTTGGAATCTACTCAGCCCTTCAACATTTTGTAAAATGCTTCTTCTTTACCAATCTTTTTATTTAATCACATTCTGAATTTGTTTACAATATATACTTTTCTGTACACATCTATCACATTTTATTTAATTAATTCATCTAGAAATCTCATATTTCCTGACATATAGAAACCATGTTTTAGTTTCATTACTTGAAGCTTAATATTATTGTGTATCTTGTAAGAGTTTTTTGATGTGTGGGTCAAGGGTTGTATGTTGTTGTGTGGATTTTTAGATATTGTTCATTAATTTATTGCTTATGTCCACGTGCAAGCAACAATAATTTAGAAAATTTCCAACATTGGAAAATAAAGGCAGCAAAGTATAGATCAATTTTCTTGCTTATAAATTGAGCATTGTCAAATCTTTGGCTTGTCATATTAGAGCTTCATGTTGCAGAGATGCTGACAAAGTAATGAGCTTTTTAACCCTTCGTGTGCATGATTTCTTTTTGGATTAGATTTTTACCCTGCCGTTAACATATATGATAACATGTGCATGATTTCTTTTGACTTGGATGCATTTGGCTCTCCTTCGTTTCAAAAAGAATGCGTATGGTGTATTTGACCATAATTAGAACTTTCCGTATGAAAGAACTCCTATCATAGATAACCTTAGTTTTGGAACCACTACTTGTTGGTGTGTTTTTTGTTTTTATGTTTTCTTCCCATCTTGCTGGGCACTTTCTTTTGTTGCTTTTCTGCTTACTTTCAAAAAAAATTGGTTTTGGTGGTTTCGTTGGATTTTCAAAGTTGCAATGTAGAGTGCACATTCTCACGTACTTCATTGTTTGGGGTATGTTAAAATTGACTGAGGAAGATGTAAAGGAGACTAATGGGTAGGGTAAGAAAATATTGGAATATCATTTTCACTTGCTTGAGGACTAAAATCCTAGGTTCAAAATATGCTTTTTGCTGATTATGCTCTATGCCTCCTGCTTTTTAAAACTTGTTTAACAATAATTTCATATTTAATATATGAATGTACCGAACATTTAATTTAGTTGCATATACTCCTTTTTAATGTTATATAATTCTTTCACATACTCCATTTGCGCATAGTGATTTTTAATTTCACTATTAAGCCTTTCAAACATGTACAGATAGGATGTTTTGCTCATGTTAGCCCTATCTACAAAGGTTAAATGTTCTCATTACCTTTCTTTTTATTATGCAGCACCTTTTACATTACTCTATTGCCAACTGCTAGCTTCAGTGCCCATGCAGAATGAGTTTGATAAGGTGAACACAATTTTTTCTAACAATTCTGACCTGAAGATGAAAGAGGTCATATTTTGAAAAGGAATCAAATACTTTATGCAACAAGTTTTGGTTTTTTTCCCACCTTCTTTCATTTCTTTCATGGTTGTCACCGTCATTTTTCACATAACATGAAAACTTCCTTTCTGCTTGAAAATCTTGCGTTCTCAATGCATAAATGCTCCGTAAAGGAACATCTAAATACTTACATACAAGTTTGTGTGTGTTTTGGCTGTGCACTGTGCCCAAGAACAAATGAAAGCAGAAGGCATAGAAGCAATGTGGCGAGAAGAATTGGTAGAGGATATTGAACAAAAGGTTGGGGTTGAAAAAATTGAAAGATGCAGGAAAGAAAGAGGAACTTGTGAAATGAATTTTTTGCATTCAAATACTCACCACCTCCATCCCTGGACTATTTTTTTTTTGGACCAGCCATCTGTGCACATTGAACCCAGCACAACCTCATTATTTTTCATACATCTTGTGAGTTGTTAGATTTAAATGCTGCTTCTTTACTTAGATTTAAATGTTGCTTCTTTACACTTATTCACGAAATGACCTTATTTTAAGAAATTTGTTGTATTGAAAGGTATGAGTTGCTCTTTTTCTTGATTGGAATAAGAAGGACATGGTTTTCGATTTGTAAGCTCTCCCGCATTGCACCAATGGATTGAAGATAGTATTATCTAATAGCTAATACTTTCGAGGAAGAAGATGACAACAAATATTGTTTATAAGAAAATTTTTAGGAATTTACGTGGGTCACGAAACTTCAATGTCGCTTGTTTGTTCTTATTACAATTTTAATATTGGTTGGTTCGGGGAAATAAGAGATGTAAAATTTTCTTAATTAATATGAGTTTGTTATACTAATTTCAATAAAAGATAATATAATTTCTTAATTACAATCTTCCAGCGCATAGTAACACATTCTAATTGGGGGTGTTTAGAAAAATACTACAAACACTTAAAAAAAAATATTTTCATACAAGTTGAGATAGAAAATTTTTATACATATTTATCCTGTAAACTGTAAAATTATTTTTTAAAAGTTAATTCAAATGCTCCTAAATCAAAGAAAGAAATAAAAACATGGTGATTGATTCACAGAGGAAAAAGGAAAGGTGATAGGAATGTGAATAAGCCAATAAGGTATCCATGTTTGGTATTGCCTTAAAACTTGAATGCAGTATGTTGGCCTCTAACTAACTTAACCTGAAGCAATTCTTCAGTTCAAGTCATTTTTTTTTTTCTTCTCTTGATCATGTGATTTTGATGCAGTATAGAATTATAAGTTTCTTAACTTCACTTTCCCCCTTTTCTTTTTCTCTTCATTTTTTTTCCCTTGATTTGGCATCGCATTAGAAATTTTTAGAAATCAATTGGGATTAAAAAAATTGCTCGATAAAAAAAAACGATATTTAGCATAGCTCCGGAGGCAGTTAATTTTTGGTTCAAGAGTCACTTTTAAGTTAAACTAAATTTTTTTCTAGCTTTTGAACTTTAGCTTTTCTTTAAATTGTAATTGTAATATTTTGAAAGTGACTTTTAGTATATTATCCATACAAATTTACGTTAAATGACTTCTTTACAAAAGTTTATCCAAAAATAAATCACATTATATTAATCAATTTTTACTTTAACTTCAATCTGAAAAAAATTAGTTTCAATAAGTTTTGCATAACCACCATGTATTAAGAGTGTTTGGATTAATTTTTTAGAAATAATTTTACTGTAATTTTAATTTGTCTCGGTATATGTGAAATTAGTGCTTGGAGAATTTTTACGCACCCCTTAAGTAAAAGGTGAAAGTTTTCAATTTGTCCATTTTTATTGGTGAAAAGAAATTATACCCGTTTGATGTGCTGGAATTGAGGCAAACGGATATGGAAATGGAATTCATTTTCAACACAAAATTTGTTTGGTACGAGAAGGAGGCCCTGAAATTGAATTCTTTGATGGAATTGGCTTCCATTGAAAAACCGAAGATTTCTAATTTTATCTCCAGTCTCCCTCTCTTACCATCCCTACGTACGATGGCCCCTCAGTAACCGCCAATAGGGACTCCAGCAACCACCACCAGCGCTTTCCCCACCTACCGCCGGCGAGCTTCTTACCACCAACACTGACGACAGCCTTCATCACCATCATCGGCGACGGCGACTTCCTGCAACCGTGACAGTGAGGGGGCGAACCATCACCTTGCTCTCCAGATTTGTCTCCATTGCAACCTCCACCCTCCGTCACCATTACCAATAGTAAGACCTAAGCTCAACATCACTAACTTTTTACCTCCCTCACGCCGTCGCTAGCAGTATATATGGTTAGTTTTTTTTTTTGCATCTTTAGATTTTTAATTTTCATGAGAGATGCAATAAGAATATGCATGTGCTTTCAAAACTAAGCACAGATTAAACTTTGGGCTTTAATTTGGTGGTTGAATCTTCGGCACTGAGGACTTGAATGGCATATTTGAAGAGCTTCAATGGCAGAACCTTTTCTCTGACTTGGTGGGGCATCAATGGCGGCAAAGAAGATGGGTTTCTCGGGTTCAGGTGGTTAAAAACATGAAAGGGTATTGTGGTCTTTTTGGCGAGAAAATACTCATTTTAATTAAAAATTAGGCTAAAATACATATAAGGCCTCTGAACTTTGAGTCAGTTACATGTGATTACCCTGAACTTTAAAATTTTAACTTAGCACCCTTACCGTTAATATTTGGACCACCAATGTTAAAAACACCGTTAAATTTAACAGCACATGCCAGTCAAATAAAGACAAATGGCATCGACACCTGGAAGATTATGAGAAATCTATTGTAGGCAACACCTACAAAAATAATAAAAATATGATTTGAGTTGTATCTAAAGACATTGTTCTTAAGAGTTATTCCACCACACATGTTAAAATAAAAAGCGGTACTCCTCAGGATTAAACGAACCCTTTTTGCTTAAAGCAAGGTGACAGAACAGTATAAATTTAAAACTTAGGAGAAAAAAGAAAGGAAAAGAGCTCGGGGATAGAACTCGACACTTTTGACCATGCATCATATATTGTCTTTTATAGGCAGATAATATGTGATCGTTGGACTGCCATAATGGTGATTAAGTATGATTTTAATGAGAATTAAAAGGGTAGTTTTTAAACAATTAATTAAGGTGAATTAAAACATTTTAACGCCATTGAATATGTTTTATGAAAGAATAAAATTGACTAATTAAGACACATAAATGCTTCAACAGTCATCTCTAACGGTCAGTTCTAACGACTCCTTTTCTTATTTATTTTATTAACTCAAACTCACATCTTAATAGACACTACGGTTTTCTATATCTTGAGTAATATGAGACTTCTTTTGACACACTCACATACTAAAACTCCAACATTCATGATCCGTTTGGTTCAAACGCATTGCAGCTTTGCAATGGTAATCTTTACCCCATTACCATATATGGCTTGTTTGATTGAACTTATACATGGTAAAACAGATTGCAATAGTAAAATCTGTTACACATTTTTTGGTATTATCCATTCATGTGGGGGGACCTATGAATGATCATTGCAGGATTGCAATTCCTTATAAAATGTCTGTTTTATCCCTTTTAATTAATATGAAAGGACAATAGTTGCCCTCAACATTTCTCTGTTGATTGTCTCTCCAGCTAACACCTTGTCCCTCCATTACCTTGACTGCTGCCTCTTCTCCTTTATCATCTCCCTTCCTCCATAATCGTCATCTCCTCCTTCTCCTTCACGAAGTAAAAGGAGATTAATTCGTCTATATCTATATACAATTTTCACGTCATAACAATACCCAATTGCGCCGACTCACCAATTTTTGCATTTTCCCAACTACTCCTCCTCCTTAAAAATTATTTTGATCATCCCACTATTAACTGCAAAAATATCTGACAAGCCCTCCCAATGTCAATTTAATTCATAATATTTCATTTTTCATTTGATCTACGTAGTGGTGGTACTCTCTTGGGGTGAGGCATTTGGGGGGTTATGAGTTGATGGTTCATTGTCTTGTTGGGTGCACAGGCTTGGTCTAAAAATTTGAAACTAAATAAAAAAAGGGAACAAAAATGGAGTAGTAAGAATAAAGGTGCATTTGGATTAGCAGTGATAGAAGTAACTTTTTTTCAATATGACTTTCATAAAAGTCGAATTGGGTCAAAAGTCAAATAGTATAATGTGATTTATGTTTAGATTGGCTTTTGAAAATAGTTAGTTTGAGAAACTGAAACTTGTTTGGATGATTAATGAAAAAGTCAGTTTATATGTAAAATGACTAAAAAAGATATAATTTTTATTGAGTAATATTACTCCGGTCTTTAATCTAAGAATTAGTTTGACATTCAACTTGATTTTAAATAGAAGACATTATTTATTACAAATAATTAATTTAACTAATCTTTTTAATCTTTCTGAGTTGGTTAACTAGTTCTTATATTAATGACAAAAAGTAGTACATATTAATATTAAATGTATATGATGTGAAAATTGTAAAAGAAATATTGAAAATAAAATAATTAAAAATAAAAAATTAATTTATTATTAGAAAGAAATTGAAAAATATTACTTTTCCACCGCACCTGTAGTTCCCACTATTAAAAGCATGATTCATTAGCTTCTTCCATAAGCCCATCTAAGCTTCAAAAGTCAGATTATAAAAATGCTAAACCAAACATCACTTTTCTTGAAAAATCACCGTTTATCATTGGAATTGTGCATTTTGGTGTCAAAACGTGGATACAAATACACCCTAAATATGTGAGTTGCAGAAGGAGGCGTACGAGTGGAGGAAGAGCAGAGGAAGAAGACGATTGTGGTTGTAATTGAAGGACTTTTAGGATTTTTTGTTAATATTTTTATTTGTTTAAATGAAAAAAGTAATAGTTTGCCTAATTTTTTTAGGGGGTGTTTGGATAAAACCAAACCATAATTTAGATAATAGTTTTTGGCCCTGTTTGGATGTTTCCCCAAATCATGGTTTGTGGACCCAAACCATGATTTGGGAAATAAGTTAGCCAAATAGAGGAAAAAAATATGAAACCATAGTTTGGACTAAAATCATGATTTGAATCCCAAAATCATGGTTTTCAGTGGAAATAGTTTGAAGTTGCTCCTAACTCAAATTTTCCATACATTGGTGTGGGCCCAACAGCATATGACAAGGCAGCCCTCATAATTGATACCTCACTCTGTCCTTCACTATTTAATCTTATAATTTATAAATATATATACATATTAATTATATTATTTTATATATTATTAATTACGTTGTAAAAATAATTTTATTAACAATTTTATTTCTTTAAATGAAAATATATTATAAAATCTATCCCTTTTTAGTAATTTACACATGTAAAAAGTGTTTCTGGTAACAACTATCCAAACATTCTCACTTTTCAGAATCACTTTTTCACAAAATCTATTCTTCACAAAATCTATTCTCCAGAAGTTATTCTTCAAACTATAATTTGGTTTCATCCAAACACCCACTTTGGAAAAAAAAGTTATTTTTGAGAATAGATTTTATTAAAAAATGATATTGATAAAATGAGAGTGTTTGGATAATTGTTATCAGAAGTATTTTTCATATGTATAAATTACTAAAAAGGACATAAGTTAATATGATAATTACATAAAAGATAGATTTTATAATATATTTTTATTTGAAGTAATGAATTTGTTAATAATGTATTTTTTATAAACATAATAAATAATATATAAAAATTGTAATTAATAAATAATTAATATGTGTATATATATTTATAAAATATAAGATTAAATATGTTTTCAAAAATGATTTTTTTTGCCAACGAAAAAATATTATTTTACCTTAAAGATTTTAAACATAAAATCTCATAATATTTTTTCACAAAATTGAATAAACATAAATAAAAATAACATATTAATTGTCAAAATAATTATGAGCAAACCATGGTCTGGGTAAAAAATTTGCCAAACAGGGAAATAAATCAACAAACTACGGTTTTGGGCTCAAAACCATGGTTTCAAAGAAAGTGAATCGATTCTGCTTTTAACTCAAATTGAAAAATATGATTGTGCCTGTCAGAATAGATCCCGATGGTAATATGACTTAACAGCCCTCAATTATTTTTCTATAAACATATTTAATCATATGTTTTATAAATATATATACACATATTAATTATTTATTAATTACATTCTTATATATTATTAATTATGTTAGTAAAAAATATATTATTAACAATTTTATTCATTCAAATTAAAATATATTATAAAATCTATCTTTTATGTAATTATCATATTAACTTACATCTTTTTTAGTAATTTATACATATAAAAAGTATTTCTGATAATAACTATCCAAATACTCTCACTTTATTAGAATTACTTTTTTAAAAAATCTATTCTCCTAAAAATCCATTCTTCAGAAACTATTCTCCTAATTATGATTTGCTATAATCCAAACACCCCATAATATTTGTACTAGTTTTTTTAAACATGTTACAGTGCAAGATAAAATAAATAAATAAAAAAGACATGAACGAGCAAAGGAAAAGACGATTTCAGTCTAAAGGATATCTGTGTTCAAATACGGTTATCTAACTTCTAACACCCTTATAATTACTCCAATGACCATTTTAAGCCTCAAAAGTATTTTTTTTTTTTGCTTTTTGCAAAATCTTGGTTTTGGAGGCTAAAATCATAATTTTGTCCTTAACCATGGTTTTCAAAAAATTTGGAGTGTTTGAATAGATTTAGGTGGACTTAAGCCGTGTTTGAGACCCAAAAGTGCTTTTTAACAATTTGCCAAACACCCTCTTAATAATATACCAAACGCCTTGATGATAATAAATACTCCTCTGGTCCTAAATATAAGACCCTTATACTAGTGTGTATAAGGGTTTTACATTTAGGACCGGATGAGTACTATATTATCATCTCCAAACACTTAGTAATTGAACCAAACAAGTCGTCAGTAGTTTAGAAAACTATAATAAATCAAATTAAAATTAGTATTACCACGGCAGTGTCATTTCATTGATCCCTACTTCGTCTCTTTTTTACTGGCCTCCCTTCATTCTTTTCTTCGAATCTAGTAAGCTTAAAGAGGTCATCTACCATTCATGGCGGTTCAAATCATTTTACGCATATATAAAGCTTGGGTTGCACATTTATATATAAAATTTTGCAAAGCTTTCTTCTTCTTCGATCGGGGGTAAGCTTTCTCATTAATAAAGGAGAATGATCTTCGAATTAGGCTCTGGCGTTTAACTACATATCAAATCTGCGGGTGATATAAAGTTGCGCGAAAAATTGACCATAAATGGTGCTGCAAGAGTGGTTATATAAAGTGTCCATAGCAGTATAATCAAAACACACAAGAAATTAATACTGCAGCTAGATTTGAAAAATCGAAGAAGTTAATGGAGATTCGGGATGCCTATGGATTGGGATTTCCAAGGAAACATGATGACCTCTGAAAACTTTGCAGATTGGAAGTAAATGACGAGGAGAGGCCACAAAAGCATAGACAAAGATGGGGATCAAATAATAAAATGTTGCGGTCAATTGATGTTGTTAATTTTAATTCGATTTATTATAATTTCCTAGACCGCTCAATTTCACATCATCTACCAGGTGTTTTTGCCATTTATTTTTATTTAATCTGACATGACATGTGCTGTTAAATTTAATTGTGTTTTTTTAACGGCAAGGGGTTAGTGGTAAAAATGTTAAAGGTGAGGGTGTTAAATTTAAATTTTTAAAGTTCAGCGTTGTTATATACAACTGACTTAAAGTTCAGGAGAATTATGCGTATTTTAGCCTAAAAATTACTCTTCTGGTCCTATTTATAAAACATTTTCAACATGTTTCATACAGACAAAAAGAAAACCTTAAACTGCATTAACTCTTCATTAAAATATAATAGCTTTCCAACTTTATCCCTATTTAATATATGCATCTTTAAAAAAAAATATCTACATTATAATAAATGAAGGACAATATGATACATTCATGGTAAAAATTTAATGAAGTAACTTATAAATAAGATAAAAAGACCTTCTCTCTTTGCCCTATAAATAGGACTAGAAGAGTATATCTTTTTTCTATAAACATACTACAGTTGGTAATATGAACCCACCAACCTACCAAAAAATGTTGGCTAAAAGTGAACTCGCCAGTAAACCGCAACTCGCTAACCTGCATTTATTTTAAAAATTTTAAAAATTATTATAATTATATTATTATATATAAATTCTATCTAAAAATTTTAAAAATATGTATATAATTTATTTGGTACTTTCAATCAAATATTTCAAAAAAAAAAATCTCATTATATTTTTTTGGATATTGAATAAGAAAAATATTAAAAGATAAAAAAATTTAAAAGAAAAGGTAAATAATTGTTGATAGGCTAACTCATCAACCCACTTTGAGCCTATTTGGGATAGTGGTAAAAATTACTCGTAAACACGTTTTACGTAAACTAGAATATGGGTTAGGATCATATGAATAATACTTTCTAACCCGACTTGGGTTTAATCTGAACGGGCTAACCCTGAGTTACCTGTATTACCACCCATTCCAAACGGGCTTCTAAACCTTGTGTCTGTTTGAGATCATAGCAGAAATTCTTTATAAACACGTTTCACATAAGTTGAAACAAAACTCCTCTAATATCCTTGTCTCATACTACCTCCGATTCTAATTATAAGAGCCAGTTGACTAATTTGAGGAGATTAAGGAAGTAAGTTGAGTTAGTTATTTGTCCCAAATAGGTGTTGTCTTTCTTAAAACATCCTTGCTGATCAAGTATATTGACTATAACTATCATTGTTAGAAGGGCTATTTTGGAAAAAAAATGTATAAATATGAGAGATAAAGTGGATTGGGGTATTATATTTAGAACCAAAATAAAAGTCAAACAAGGTCTTATATTAAGGACCGAGGTAGTATTTTATAAATCACTATTGAAACTATTTATAAGTTACTTAGTATGTATTTGGGAAAGTTTAAGAAATCTCTTATAAGCACGTTTTACGCAAGTCGAAATAAAATTCTTCTCATGTACTTGTCTTGTATTTGATAAATCATTATTAAAAAACTATTTATAAACTCTTCCAAAACATGCCTTACAAATTTTTCCAAACCGAAATAAATTGTTTCAAACGGGGCTTGAAGGGGTTCTTGAAGGGTTTTAGCCTTGTGGGGACCTGTCTAGTGTAACGGAGCGCTTGAGCGGTTGCCTAGCAGTTGCCGAGGCGTCTGCCGGGTTCGTAAGAGGAGCGCGAGCGAGGCTTGCTAATCAATCTATACTTATCAATCGCTGCTTTTCAAATTGTTTTTGGATTCGTAACCCCCTAGCAGCAGCTGATTTTTTTTCCCACAATGCAGCAGAATCAACCGTACATCCTTTCTTCTTCACATCTTTATTTGTTTTTTTGGATTTCTTCTTCCTTAGTATATAGTTCATTCTTATTTTCTGTATGTTTTCACTGCAAATGTTCAGTGTTGGCGTTGATAAGCAATATCTTGCCGCACCTGTAAAATCAGCTGTCGACAAATTTCAGCTTCTTCCCGAGTTCCTGAAGGTAATCTTGCATTACATGTTGATTCGTTAGTGGTATTTGCTATCGCTTACGGGATGTTATTATACCGGTATTTTGTAGGTTAGAGGATTGGTGAAGCAACATTTGGATTCGTTTAACTATTTTGTGAAAACCGGCATTAAGAAAATCGTTCGTGCAAATGACCGTATTGTGGCGTCAAAGCACCCGAGCATATATTTAAGGTACAAATGTTGGTTTGCTCATACATTTAGTTAGTTGTGCTACTTGTGAGTGTTCTTTGGATATATTTAAGTTTGATATTTTCAATTTTTTGAATTAGACAGTTCTAAATGCTGGAACTGAGAACTGGCGTAAATTTTAAGTTGATAGGTGACACCAAAGTTTTTTCTTAATAACTTAGTTGCGATGAAAAAGGAACTTTGTGTGAATCAATTCATATTGCCGTTCTTTAGTTTGCAAAGGCGTGCGGTACTTCAGTTTGCTTTCTTTATGAGTGGTGGACAATTGGCTCTTTTTGTAGGTTTAAGGATGTCAGAATTGGTGAGCCTTCAATAATGGTAGATGGTAGTCCAGAGAAAATTACACCACATACATGCCGCTTATCTGACCAGACGTAAGATTTGTTTTTGTGAGAAACACTGTCACTATCTTATGTTTTATATCAATCCTTAAGATAGATATTTAATTATTTGCAAGGTTGCTCTTGATTGTGTCTGTTTAGTTCCATGATGTCGCAAGTGAAAGAAAGGAGCAATAAAGTAGTTTTGTGCTGAATGATAATAGGGACTTGTGACTAGACAAAATCTAGACTCATTCTTTGTGTCAAGTACTAACTGAATAGTGTTTCATTTTTTGGTGTCTTACACAAGATATACGGCTCCAATATTGGTTAATATTGAGTATATTCAAGGAGGCCCTGGTCAGATGGCTAAAGTGGAGAAGGTATAAAAACACTATTTATAAATGACTTCGGCATAGACTATATAGATGCTATCAGTCCTGTGTATTTTTTTCGTTGCAGAATGATGTTGTTATTGGAAGGATGCCTATTATGTTAAGGAGTTGCTGTTGTGTCCTGTATGGGAAAGATGAAGCTGAACTTGCAAAACTTGGTTCGTTTGTGTAGAGGATTTAATTTGGATATTTTTGGGTTTTTGTGCCTTTACTTTGTCCTCTTATCAATTCCTTATAGTAATCTACCTTCTTTTCCCAATGGATAGGTGAGTGCCCTCTTGATCCTGGTGGGTATTTCATAATCAAAGGAACAGAAAAGGTGATATTCGGACTTTTCTCAAATGCTTCTTAACATTATATAATTTGCAAAGCCTTTTATTTGTTAAGTCAAGTTGATACTCACATTTAGATTAAAGCAATGTAATTTAAGGAATGAATTTGAAATGATGAAAGTAAAAGAAATAAAATGAAAATTGCTGAATAAGAAAGATAAATAAAATGCTAAGCATCATTTTGATTTCAATGTTATACTTGTTGGGGGGTTGTTACCTAATCCAGTTTTACTTCTTTTTAACTTGTTCCCCATCCGCTCCTAAACATGATACCTTTCCATACTAGAATGAAATCAGCAAAACAATATTGTTAGCAGTTTCTGCTGTGTGTTTCTCAATTTGTGCTTGCTGTTCAAGTGGCAAGCCTTGAACACAGAAAAGTTGGTTGACTGAATTAAGTAGATAGCAAGTTGGAAATATGGATTTGGAAACAGGAGATAAGTAAAGACTCTGGATAAGGAGGCGGACATTGGTGTTTTTTGTCTATCCGTCCTTACTCCTTAGTATTTTCAGTCTTTCCCATGATATAATCTGAAATTGCGCAACACTATTCTTATTCTTATTCTACTGAAACTGATCCATACATATATAGGGACAGAGGTTGACTAAATCACATAAATTCCTCTCAATAATTGAAAAAATAAATCAAAAGATATTATTATGTGATCCCTTAAGATATGCAGAATTCAGTGCTAATAATGATAAAGATAACAAACTGCTAAACACTAAACAGATAAAACTAGTGTTATAAAATGGGCCGAATATGAAAAAGCCAACTTCCAGCGCAATCTTTTCCTTATTATATATTGAATCAATTATTATTGTATGATTTATTGCATGTCCGTTATCCTATAATATTGGTAGGATTCTAGTATTTGAGAGAATGTTGGGGTAGTTTGTACGGTCAACTTCATCAATGATAAATTCTCTCTCTCTCTCTATTCTTTTCTATGAACTCAACTCTTTAGAGGAATGTTGCTTTTATTTTTTCTTGATAATTTCTCCCTTTAATGCCGTAAATCTTTTTCAGGTGATGTTAATGCAAGAGCAACTTTCAAAGAATAGAATAATTATTGACACAGACAAGAAGGGAAAGTTAGTAGTTCTTCTGGATTCTAGTTATACCTTATGCTTCACCTTGTCATATAATTATATATTTATGTAACATATGCATATTTATATTCTAGTTAGACCTCATGCTTCGCCTTGTCATATAATCACATATTTATATAATAATATGTGCATATGGACATGCCTAAATCTTTAATTTTGGATTGATCTCTATCTTCCTTCTCCTCTCCCAGTCTTATGTAATTTGAGTACTCTTGCGTGATATCTGTAGTATCTTATTTTGGGTACTGATATTAATTGACTTAATAATATTGAGTTTCATGCCTTGGATTCTCTTTGGACTGGGGCCTGTATTGAAAGTTTTATTAACTATCTTCAGCTGTTTATGGTGAAATCTGTTTCTTAATGGTTAATGTCTTATTCCTTCCACATTGTAGATTAAATTGTTGATACTATTTCATGTTTCTCAAAGGCTTATTGAAGGATGATCCACTACTTTTGATTTGATTATTTTAGCAAGATGATATTCCGCAACATTCCATCCTATTTTTCATTTGGTGATAAATGTTTCAATATAGCAAAATTTTTATTGAGATGGAATCCTATTGCACCCAATGAAAAATGATGTTTGGACCTTGGAAGTGATAATGGTTACTATGTATTGAAGAATAGGGTAGGAGGGAGATGTCGAGAGACTGTTTAAACTTGTATATTATTGATAGAGAGTCCATGTTTTGTACAGAACACTGGCTCTTCTTAGAATCACAAGAGAGATCAATTACAATAATTAGAAATTAATGTAGTGAGAGAGAATTAGATCTGCCCCTGATTTGTGGCTAGAGATCTGTGAACTGAATGAGGTAAAATAAAAGATATGATAATAACGAGCAAGAGGAGATTTGGGCTATGATTTCTAACACTCCCCTCAAGCTGAAGTATAGATATCTAGCATTTCCAACTTGCCTCGGAGCCCTTCGAACTGTACTTTGGCAAGAGGTTTGGTCATGATGTTCGAAATTGGTTTGATGAGTAGATGTAGGATAGTTCCATTAAGCCTTCTTCCACTTTCTCTTTGATAAAATGCCTGTCAATTTCCATGTGCTTAGTCCTATCATGATAGATCGGATTTTTGGTCATTTCCATACTAGGTTTATTGTCACACCACAAGTGCATAGGTCCTTCATAAGGAATTTTAAGCTCTTTCAAGGGTTTGATAATCCAAATTCCTTCACAGACACCTAGTGCTACTACTCTTGGCTTTGCTCCAGCACTGCTTCGAGACACAACTAACTTTTTTTTTTTTTTTGCTTCTCCATGTAACCAAATTTTCCCAGACATAGGAGCAATATCCGGTGGTAGATCTCCTATTCTCTACAGACCTGCCATGATCTGCATTGATATAAATCTCTATACCTCTTGTTCTATTTTTGGCAAAGAAAATGCCTTTCTCGGGGTTGAGTTTTAAGTATCTTAGGATTCGGAGTATTGCTTCTAGATGTTCTTCCTTAGGGTGGTGCAAGAATTGACTAACAATCTCGATTGCATAGCTGATGTCTCGTCGAGTGTGGGTCAAGTATATCAATTTTCCCACAAGTCTTCCGTATCTTTCTGAGTTCATAGGAGTTCCTTCTGGTTTAATTTCCAAATTACATGTTGTTTCCATAGGTGTCTCATCTGAATTGGCTCCAAGGAGTCTAGTTTCTTGTAAGAGATCTAGAGTGTACTTTTGTTGTGACATATTAATTCCATTTTTCGTTTTTGCCACCTCCATCCTGAGGAAATATTTTATTTGCTTGAGATCTTTGACCTGAAACTCCCTAGCTAGTGCCTTTTTTAGTTGGGTTATAGAGGTCTCGTCATTCCTGATCACAATGTCATCAACATATACAATGAGGATAGTGACCTTGCTGTTGTTATGTCGTGTGAACATCGTATGGTCAGCTTGACCTTGTGAGTAGCCATTTTTCTTTAGGGCTTTGGCAAATCTATCTAACCATGCTTTGGGTGATTGTTTGAGTCCATACAGGGACTTCTTTAGTTTGAAAACCTTAGTGGCATTATGTGGCTTTCGTACTCCATCTGGAATTTTCATGTACACTTCTTCTTTTAAGTCACCATTTAAGAACGCGTTTTTCATGTCCAATTGGTGTAAGGGTCAATCCAGGCTAGTTGCTATTGAAAGTATGACATTAATAGTGTTGAACTTGGCACTGGTGCAAAAGCTTCCTAATACTCTATGCCATAGGTTTGGGTGTATCCTTTCGCAACTAGTCTTGCCTTGTATTTGCTTAGACTCCTATCTGGATTGAATTTAGGTTTGAACACCCATCTGCATCCACCCACCTTCTTTCCTTGGGTTAGAGATATGATGTTCTAGGTTTTATTGTCTTTTAGGGCCTTTAGCTCCTCTTCTATAGCTTTCTTCCAGTTTGGATACGTCACCACTTGTTGGAAGGTCTTTGGTGTCTTTATTTGTGAACTATTAACCACAAAGCTTTGCATTCTAAGAGAAAGGTTAGTATAAGAAACATATTTTTGTATAGGGTATTGGGTGCAGGACGTCACCCCTTTTCTGAGAGCAATAGGCCAGCCTCATTCCTCAAGGTATGTCGTCGAGCGTGACGGTCAGAAAGCTTTTGGACAAAGGAAACTGATAGTCGCATTTCGTTCCTTGAAACATGATTTAAAAATTGCATTAGCTTTCCCCGTGTCACTGACGTCAGCCCCTACTTCAATTAAAGCTCGCTCAGTGTCCGGAATCGGGACCCGGTTGGACCATGGTAACTCGGCGAGTCACTTACTCAGTTGGAATCATGGCTATGCCTTGGAGTGGGTGAGACTCTATTTTCAGCACTTTCTTCCATATTTTGTTCTTGGTTTTGTCTGTTCTCGGTGTCGTTTTCCCTTTGTGGAGTGTGTTCTTTGCTGGTTGTGTCAGGTTCACTTGTTTCAGGTCTGTTAGATGAGTTTTCAGGTGCATTTTCTTGTGTTTCAAGTGTTTCAGTTCTGCTAGGAGTGTCTTTAGATCTGGTAGGTGTAATTTCAGGATTTTGAGATATGGTACTGGTGTTTTCAGATGTATTTGCAGGCCTGGCAGGTTTGTCTTCAGGTCTGATTGGCAGGTTTTCTAGTGTGCATTCTTGTATATTGTTGTTTGAGGCCTGAATTAGTCATTCTTTAGCACCATAGTCCTCCCCCTGAATGGGTAATTTAGGATAATAGGTGTCTTCTTCATAGAAGACATCTTTGGAGAAGTGGAGCTTTTTGGTAATAGGACAATAGCACTTATACCTTTTTTGGGTGGAAGAGCATCCTAGAAAAATGCATTTTTCAGCTCTTGGACTTAGTTTGCCCTCATTGTTGTTGTAGGCAAATGCGGCACAGCCAAGGACCTTTCGTGGCAGGTTGTTAGGGCATGTGAGGATAAGTTTCACAAAGTTTTTGGATAGGAGAGATATATTTAAGAGTTTTAGAGGGCATCCAATTTAGGAGGTAAGTTGTTGTCAGGGTAGCATCCCCCTAGAAAATATTTGGAACATTTTTGTCCAATATTATGGCTCTAGTTACCTCTAAGAGATTTCGGTTTTTCCTTTCAATCACCCCATTTTGTTGAGGAGTGTATACACAGGAAGTCTGTTGATGAATTCCATATTGCTCAAGAAATTTTGTGAAAGAATTGCTCATGTATTCTCAGGCATTATCACCTCTAAGCATTTTAATAGTTGTTTGGAATTGATTCTTAACAAGTGTATGGAATTTTTTAAAGGTCTGATTTTTCTTTTAGTAAATAAACCCATGTTACCCTTGTATGGTCATCAATAAAAGTGACAAACCATCTGGCATTTGAAAGAGTCTTAGTTTTAGCCGGTCCCCATATATCACTATAAATTAGAGTAAATGGTGAAGTTGATTTATAAGTTTGTTTGGGATAAATGGCCTTTGTTTGTTTTGTAAATTGGCAAGTGTCACAATGAAAAAGAGTAGAATTTTTATTAAATAGATTTGGAAGCAAATGTTTCATATAATTGAAACGAGGATGCCCTTGTCTTTGGTGCCATAATATATTATCTTTATTTACAGAAGTCGAGCTAACCATAGCTTGTCTTGTTGAGTTTTTCATTCCCTAGAAATAGTAGAGTCCATCCCACTCCTTAGCTATGCCAATCTTCCTCCTCGAGGTCAGAACCTGAATCACACGCTTGTCATCATCAAAAAAGACTTGGCATTTCTATCCTTTGGTTAGTTTGCTAACAGAAACTAAACTGCAAGTGAGTTTAGGTACATAAAGCACATTATGAATCACTAATTGATCATATAACTCAATAGATCCAATTCCACACATAGGAGCATAAATTCCATTTGCTACCTTGACTTTAAGATCTTTGTGACAGTACTTAAGGGTTTGAAACAAACTTTTGTTGCCAGACATATGATCAGTAGGCCAGTAGCACTGGAGTCAATAATCCAGACATAATCACTAGTTTCCATAGCATTAAGGGAAATTATGGAGTTACTTGATTTTACCAAATTTACTTTAGGTGTACTGGTCTGTTTCTTGAGTATTTGATGTAGGAGTTTTAGCTCCTCTTTGTTGAGGGTGTCTCCATCCTCTTCCCGACTTTTTGTGTGGTAACTTGTCCTAGCTGTTTGCTATTTACCTTTTTGGTTTGGTGGTTTACCATGTAATTTTCAGCCTATATCTTTGGTGTGCCCTCTTTTATTATAGTGGTCACACCATATTTCATTCTTCTTGCTGGTTTGTGCGGAAGAGTTGGGTCCTTTGATGGCAAGTGCAGAAGCTTCATTATGGATGGACACGCCTTTGGTGAGTTGTTTCCAGCTTTCTTCGCACTTCATCATGTTGAATGTCTCGTAGAGAGACAACAAAGGTTTAATATGTACTACTTCCGGTCTTAATTATAAGAACTAGTTGATTAATTTGAGGAGATTAAGGAAGTATTGGTTATAACTATTAAGGAAGTATTAATTTGAGTTGAGTTAGTTATTTGTTAATAGGTATTGCCTTTCCTAAAATATTCTTACTAATCAAGTGTATTGGTTAGAACTATTATTGTTAGAAGGACTGCTTTGAAAAAAAATATATAAATATGAGAGACAAAGTGGATTAGGGTTTTATATTTAGGACCAAAATAAAAGTCAAACAAGGTTTTATATTAAGGACTGGAGGTAGTATTATTCTGCCTCTGACTTCTTCAAACTCATCAGTCAGTCCTAGGAGGAGGAATACATATGTCCTCTCTCTTTAGACTAGTTGCTTGTAGTATTGTGCGTTTGCTACACACTTCTAGGAATGGACTTCAAAGAGGCCCAATTGCTGCCAAATACAGATTAGTGAACTATAAAATTGAACGACAGTCATTTTACCTTGTTCGAGATCACTAAGCTGTTTCTTTAGTTGAAACAAGGTTGCAGTATTGTCCACCGAAGAGTAAGTTTGTTCGGCAGCAGCCCAGATCTCTTTTGCTATCCTTGCGAGGAGATATCCCTCAGTAATTTCAAGAGTCATTGAGTTGCATAGCTATGACATCACCTGGTTTTATGCAAACCAAGTTTCCAAGGTAGGATCCTTGGAAGTGGTTGAACCGCCTCACCATTAATATATTTCTCTTTTCGCCTCCCTCTGCGATACATGAGTATGCTCTGTCACCACTGTAGGTAGTTGCAACCGTTCATTTTGTGCACCATAACCATACTCTGGTTTTTGGTTATGGAAGCAAAGTCTATAGGTGCCATGGTGGACAATGTGACTGGACTGGTTGTTGAGGCCAAGGTTTTTGAGTTGCTCGACTAGGTCTGACTTGATGAGTCATCCATCAGGGTCGTCGGTCTAGTACCTATATTCCCTTGGTTTCGTCATAGTGAATGGAACAGAGGTGGAAACTTGCTAGAGTCCATTTTACTAGCACTCTGATGCCATATTGAAGAATAGAGTAGGAGGGAGAGACTGTATAAACTTGTATATTATTGATAGGCAGTCAAGCTTTTATATAGTACACTAGGCTCTTCTCAGGATCACAAGAGAGATCAATTACAATAATTAGAAATTAATGTAGTGAGAGAGAAAATCAGATCTGCTCATGATTTTTGGCTAGAGATTTGTGAACTAAATAAGATAAACTAAAAGATATGATAATAATGTGCAAGAGTAGCTTTGGGTTGCGATTTATAACACTATGAGTTTTTTATTAAATTGTTCTGTGCCTGCTTCATAGAGTGACTGATTCTTTAATAAATTTTTTATAAATATCGAATATTTTATTTTATATTTTCTTCATGGGTATGTTGTCTTAATGGGTATTTTGACTCTTTCTTTTGCTATCAGCATCACTGCATCTGTTACAAGCAGTACGGAAGCAATAAAATCCAAAACAGTTGTTGTGATGGAAAAGGAGAAGATTTGGTTGCAATTAAATCAATTTCCTAAAAAGGTTTCCATTTTGTGTTACTCACTGATGTTAAACTTTACTCCTTATCATATTATAAGTAGGCTTTGGTCATTTGTTCCTTATAATTCTTTTGAAGGTCCCTATTATGATTGTAATGAAAGCTATGGGGATGGAGAGTGATCAGGAGGTTGTACAAATGCTTGGAAGAGATCCCCGTTATAGTTCACTACTTTTACCGTCTATTGAGGTAATGGTACAAGATTATGATTCCATAAAAAAAGCATACTTATGCACTTAGTGAAGGAAAAAAAAACTCAGGTGTTGCATGCTACTTTATTCATCTATAAATGTGTGTTTAGATAGTCTTTATTTGCTTAGACCTGTTATCTTATTTTATTGGCTCCATTATTGAGCTCTGGAATATTTTCCTCCATTATTAGGAATGTGCAAAAAATGGTGTATATACTAAAGAGCAAGCGCTGGAGTATCTAGAGTCAAAGGTTTGTTATCTTTTTTTTTTTTTTTTCCTGATGATTGTGAAGATTTTCTCAATATAAGATGTCTTGGGGCTGACCATATTTTTGTTTTCTTGAAAAAAGTTTTGGTGAGTTCAGTGTCAAGAACTCACCAGGGCTAAGTAGACCATATACTCTAAACCATTATTTTGTTAAATTATCTTCCCATTATTTGGACCTAAAGAACCTTGGCCCTATGTGAGCATTGAAACCAATATTGGTATTTTGGTTCATCACTTGAAGCTTTATGGAGTACAAATGTTTTAATGATTGTATTATTATAGTGATGGAGAAATTCTTTAGCATTATTTTTTTTTTTAAATTGCATTGTATTTGCTTTATATTGACGAATGAAAGTGTATGTGAGTGGTCAATTGGCATTAGGCTGTCTTTGGGACCAGTTGACATTGATTTAACATAAAACAAATCTGTACCCCACAATATTTGATTATAAGAAGTAAGTATCATTGTTTTAGCTTTTGAATTCAACGTAATACTCATAAAAATCTTGTATTTTGAATCTTACAGGTATTAAATAACAGTAACTACGTAATCAAGTAGTTGATAACCTCGATATTGATAAATAAATAACATTTTGATTTTTTGTTTTGTTTTAGTGATGATTGAAAAAGGTGTTAGATTTATGTTATTTTTGTTGTAAGATATTTATGATAAGAAGTTTCAACATAAGGGTGAATTTTGTAGGAAAAGCATCTAATAAGAAGTTATGTTTTGGTGTAAGATGGTCTCGATCAAGATGAGTGTCAATTGACACCTCCTTATGTGCATGCATGTAACAAATTCTAGTTTGGCCTTAGAATTAAGTCGTTCATTTTGTCACTTCAATGTTTTTTTTTCTTGGGAAGACAACCCAAAATAACCACTGAGCGTAGCAAGCTATGGGAAGCATTAAATGCAACCACATTTTATTTTATAACAATCGAAGGGATAAAGTAATGGCATTGAAGAGACATGGATTTCTATTCCTCCTTTCATATATTACTACCTCCAGTTCTTAACATAAGAGCTAGATAACTAATTTGCAAGTATTAAAAAAATTAGTTAAGTTAATTATTTATAATAAATTAGTGTTGTCTTTTTTAAAATATTCTTATTAATTGTGTGCATTAGAATGAAAATACTTAACACGTGTAATCAGTATGGGGAAAAATGAATAAATATGGGAGACAAAATGGATTGAGTTTTTTTATTTGGCACCAAATTGAATCTTCAACTGGCTCTTATATTTAGGACTGGAGATAGTATCGTCTTTTCCTTTTTTATACACCTGCATTGCCAAGAAATTGTCAGATGCACACTTGTTAGGTAGTGTACGTAAAATTTTAGTGTAATAAGAGTTGCCAATTTTTATCTGTATAACTCTTTTAGTGTTTTTATTTTTGGTTAAGGTGCAACTGTGTCCTGTAAGTTTTCACTCAGGAGCGTTGGGTATCCAAAACTTTTTTTGGATGCAAATTTACCTCAAAAGTTTAAAGTCGTAACAATATTGCACCCTACCATTAAAAAACTAATATTGACTGTTAAAATAGTGACTTTGACCATTAGCATTTTAAACGTTAAGGGGCAATGTTGTTATGATTTTAAACTTATGAGGATAAATTTGCACTCAAAAATAGTTTAGGGTGCCCATTGCTCCTGAGTGAAAACTTCCAAGACAAATTTTCACCTTAACCCTTTTTATTTTTATACATATATATATGCTTAACATGTTTTTCTTATTAACCTGATGTTTGTATTTCTTTGTTCAGGTCAAGAAGTCCATGTTTGCAAGTGATTCATTTGAAAGGGTTAGTGAATCTCTGTGTGTGTGGGGGTCTCAACACGGCCACACAAACAGATAATAGAATTGTTTAATTGATGTATTTATGCAATTGATAATATCGTATGATAACTTTGACACTTTTTTTGTGATGTCAATTCGGAACATTTTATATAGGAAGGCAGAGCATACTCTGTCCTGAGAGATGTATTTCTTGCAAATGTGCCAGTAAGTTGATTTCAGTCAGTTGAGGGTTCTTACACTTGGTGATTATTGTTGAGACTGATCTAAGCTGCTTCTGTTTTTCCCCCATCAGGTGCATCAGAATAATTTTAGGCCAAAATGTGTATATGTTGCTGTTATGATCAGACGCATGATGGATGCTATTCTAAATAAGGATACCATGGATGACAAGGTAATATCTTTCTTAATATGTGAGACTGTATAAAGGCAATAAAGAAAAGGTTCTGTTTTACATGATACAAGAGTAGGGAGAGCCTTGTTACTTGTGCTTCATGAATGAAATGTGCTTCAATGAAGAAGGCAGACTTTTTTCAAGGGTTACAATAAAAATTATTTATGTGCCTTTACTTAATTGCTTAGTATTGACTTGAAATGGTCATAGACATGGTATATGAGCCCCTATGACCCAGCTGTCAGGAGTTTGATGCTTGCCACTCTCCCATGCTCCATAATTAATTTGATATTTTTGCACTGGGTATGGCCAACCTGTTTCGTGTCCATCTTTCAAGCCCAAATGGCTTTTGCCGAGGAGGTTTAAATATTACAAGGTCCATAGGGTTGGACCTTGTCCACAATGAGAAAATGACTTTAGTGTATTGGAGATTATGGTAAATTTATTTATTGGCATTCAACAAACAGTTGAAGTGGTCATTGACAAACAATGTCGAAAATATTCTGGAATATTTCTATTAATATGAGCATTGAGCTTATGAAATCAAGTAAATAAGAAGATTATCGGGGAATAAGTGCCCAGTGGCTAAAGATTTAGGGTGGGAAAAGAAACAGGAGGGATGATGATATGTAGGTCTGTAATTATTATCAGGATTATGCCAGATTTGGTATTCTTTACATCTTGTTGATACTCATATTTATAATATTTTTTCCCCCAAAACATACTCTAACAACTGAAGCCAATGCAACCTCACTTTCCATTTAAACTAATGCATTCAGCTTGAATGATCACATGAATCACATAATTTATTAGTCATTTCAAGAGCATCCCAAAAATAATGTCCCCTTTTGCTGCGTGTAGGGGCAAGGTCTATGTGCTATATCTATTAACTGTGTCGTTTAATTTATTCTAAAGGATTATGTGGGGAACAAGCGGCTGGAGTTATCTGGCCAATTAGTATCTCTTCTTTTTGAGGTAGCATCTAATTTTATTTATGCACCTGTTTGTTTGGAGATACTTTGCACGATTTTCATTGCACTAATTGTTATGCTTTTGATTGTTTTTAGGATCTCTTTAAGACGATGATAAGTGAAGTTAAGATGTACGTTGATAAATTCTTGGAGAAGAATAACAAGACAAACCGCTTTGACTTTTCTCATGTGAGCCCTCTTTAATATCTATGATTGAGCATTATCAAATGCAAAATGTAATCTATGCAATGCTAATCGAATTCATTCCTCAAGGGGTTCATCTTTTGGTTGCCTAAATGTATTTACTGTTGAATATAAGATCTAACAATAATGAAATAAAATTATATTTTCAGGCAAAGATTCAAAACTAGATGAATGAATTGGAAATAAAAATGTCACAGCAACTGTTATTCATTTATGATTTTTTATTGAAGTTTATCACGTGATATATATCACAGCTATTAGAATGTTTATTCAGGAATTGTTTTATACTTTGTCTGTTCACCTTGATCTCATGGTTGTCTTGATTTGTCTTGATTTCTGCCTACATTTCGCCCCTAATATGTGTATTATAGTATGTTACTAGAGACTTTATCACATCTGGGCTGGAAAGGACTCTCTCGACTGGTAATTTTGACATCAAAAGGTTCAAGATGCACAGAAAAGGGATGACCCAGGTTTATTACGTTCTTAACAATTTTACTTTCCATCATCTTCATATATTATTGGAAATATGATCACAGAAGGGGTTTATGTCTTGGTGAGAGCTTGAGTGCTGGGGATAAGGTCGCTTTATCATTTCTTGGCTCTAGGCCCTTAATGCAATTACACATTCTGACTGATGAGATTTCTCTATTTATAGGTGCTAGCTAGGTTATCATTTATAGGGACCATGGGGCATGTGACAAGAATCTCTCCGCAGTTTGAGAAATCCAGGAAAGTAAGTGGACCTAGAGCTTTACAGCCTAGCCAGGTAAGCCACATTTTTTCAGGTATTATATGCCATTGGACAAACTTCTGACCTTTAAAATATCTTTTCTACCTTCTGATTCACGCCCTCCATTTTTGTTCTATTCCTTTCAATACAGTGGGGAATGCTTTGTCCCTGTGATACTCCAGAAGGCGAGGCCTGTGGATTGGTGAAAAACCTGGCTTTGATGACTCATGTTACTACTGATGAAGAGGAGGGCCCCCTAATTTCTCTGGTATGCTTTTTCTAATGTAATTCCCGATTTTTTTACTACCTTCAGTCCTAATTATAAGACCTCGTTTGTAGACTATAAACGAGGTCTTGTGATTAAGACTGGAGGTAGTGTTATTTTGGCATATAAATTCTTATATTTTTAATTTGTAGTCTTTATTATTTTTGTGAAGAAATTTTTATATTGTAATTGTTTCATCTAGAGTGTGGGATATGTATGCCCTTCTATTTGTTTGGTTGTTTGAAATTTGTTTCTATGTCAAGGTGCCTCCTTAAGTGTGCATGCAAGAGTATAGGCAGCTGGCACATTGTTTCTTAATTTGTGTGCTATAATTTCTGAAGCTTAATTATATCTGTGGCAGTGCTATTCTTTGGGTGTTGAAGATTTGGAACTGCTCTCTGGGGAAGAGCTTCACACGCCAAATTCATTTCTTATTATTTTTAATGGGCTGATACTTGGCAAGCATCGGAGGCCACAGGTACTGTAATTTCTGTGGAAGTTCCCTCTTGATAAAGCAGAAGAGGCACACATGTTTGCACTAGTATTCCTGTGAAGTTATTATTGACATAATCATCATCATCATCATCATCATTTTTTTCCTCTCTTTTCAAGCGTTTTGCTACTGCAATGAGAAAGTTGAGGAGGGCTGGAAAAATTGGCGAGTTTGTAAGTGTTTTTGTCAATGAAAAGCAGGTAAATACTTCTAATTATAGTTTTTTTAATCTGTTTCTGCCATTTTCTGGTGTCTTGGTTCATTTTCTTTTGTCTGTAAATTCTACTTTGATTTAACTGTTTCTGTGTATCTTAAGGGCATCTAAGTGGGTAAAGAATCTTGAGTAGGTAGTTTTTACTCATTATGGGAGAATTTCAAATGAGTCTCACATTCTGAACTTAATTTCCAATGAGGCCCAAGACATTCTGAAATTTTATTTCAGTCTTCTTGACCCAAAATGAAATTAAGGTTGAAGTAAAAATGACCATGTTGGTCCTAAAAATTTTAACAACCTCATAGGTAAGTTTGCAAGTGAAAAATATGCATTTTAAATAGGTAAGTTTGCAAGTGAAAAATATGCATTTTAACAAGAAAGAAAAAGCTAAATAAAAACTGTACATATGAAAATTTACAACCCCCAATTTTCATTACAACAAAATGTGAACATGAAAGATTTGAAAGATTCACAATGCTTATACGCAAGCTTGCAAGTCAAAATATGCAAATTTTCATATAAACACTTATAAATTTTGCATGTTCACATCTTGTAATGAAAATTGAGCTGTAGGTTTTCATATGCGCAGTTGTTATTTAGCTATTTTTTATTGGTAAAATGTGTACTTCCACTTGCAAAACTTACCCATGATCACTTATGAATTTTTCATGTTCATCTTATTATTGTGAAAATTGGGAGTTGTAAAATTTCATATTTACAGTTGTTATTTAGCTGTTTTTTGTTGTTAAAATGCATTTTGGTTCAACGTGACTGAAATGAAGTTTCAGATTGTTTTGGGCTTGATTGGAAATTAAATAGAGACTTTGGGACTTGTGTGAAATTCTCCCTTTAAATATCTTATAAAGCATCCTATACTACTCAATGTGAGACTTTCGTATTTGTTACTACATCTTTATTGGATCTTATATCACGATGTAGTAATATCCTCTAGCCACCCTCCTTATCTTGAAGAAGAGGTGGTTATTGCCATTGTTGTTATCAAACCAAGAAACTTAAATTCTCTTCTGATATTTATTTAACATGTCGTCTCTCATATGTTATTGTTGGCCTTTTGTGTTGAAGCATAGGTATAGTTAGGTTTATCATAGGGGCTAAAGAAAACACTCACTTCAGCTGTGGACGTCTTTATTTGTAATATTCTAAAAGTAACGTTGATGTAGCCACAAGATATCAGATACTCAATCATGAAGATAATTGTAACTGTGGATTTTGGGAAGTTTTGTTCCATATTTCATTCATCATACCAATATTTACACACACACACACACACACACAAGGGAGGCAGCCACAAGATATTGGATGTTCAATCCGGCAATCCCCCAAATCATGGGGGAGAATCAAACAAAATAAGAAACAAAACAAAATAGGAAATAAAAAAGTAGGAAACAAGATAAAGATGGGAAACAAGATTATATAGATATATAGGTAATTGAAAAATCTACGACATATTCCTGATATAATCTTTCTTAAACAGAGTAATAAATAAAGTTGAGGAGATATTCAGAACAATAAAGGACTCAGTTATTGGGCCTTGTGAAGAAAGCCCTAAAATCCACCAACACGTGACAATTGTAAGACTCCTAGACAAATGCAAACCCCTAATCCTTGACAGCCCCAGTTGAATTTTGATCAAGACCTGTGCAAGCACGGGGAACCCTTAAAAGTCAACTCTTTGAGGAAGGACCATGCCACTTGATACTACAAGAGTTACTGTTGCCTTTTTTTTTTTGGCTCTCCAATACGAGACTCCATCAAACTCTAACACTTATCTTGGCATAAGTGATCTGCTTCTTAAGAGGTTCTTTGGTTTAAATATCTTAATTTCGTTTGGGAGTATACCTTTTAGCTTCACAATATCATCCATCCATCCATCCATCTTTCCATTTAATAAAGTGGTAACGTTGATGTGGATAAACACGCCTTAGTTCACATGTGTTATTCGATGAAACAAGTGAATACTTACAGGGAAGGAACACCGCCATGGGCTCGCAAGCCCATGATTACTAATGATGCAAAAACAGATCACAACACATACAAAGGCAAAGAGGAGAATAAAACATGCTAAATCACACGCGCGCGCGTGTGCACGTATGTGTATGCATGCAAGAATTATTATGTTTGTGGGTCTAAATAATCTCCATCAGTTGACACTGTTATAAAATCATTTTAGCTTATTGCTGATTCTCATTGCTTCATTATTGCCCTACACATCTCTCTTGCTTTATATGCAGTTTTGTTTCACTTCCCAATTTTCTTCAGTGACACTGTTTTGTGCAAGATACTTTACTAGTTGATGTAAGTGAAAAACTGATATGGTTGTAATTTATCTTTTTAGCGGTGTGTTTACTTGGCTTCAGATGGCGGTAGAGTTTGTCGTCCACTCGTCATTGCTGACAAGGGCATATCAAGAGTCAAAGAGCATCATATGAAGGAGTTAATGGTTAGTTTACTTAAAGCTTTTATTGTGGGAAGAAAGGAAGCTGCTCATATGAATTCAAATTTCATGCTTTTTCAGGATGGAGTGCGCACATTTGATGATTTTTTACGTGATGGCTTGATTGAGTATCTTGATGTTAATGAGGAAAACAATGCCCTGGTTTGTTTTTCTCTTACTACTTGTTGCCTCTTTTAGTCATAAAATCTTGTTACTATTTACTAATGAAAGTGAATCTTGCTGCCTTTTTTCTATGTTGTAGATTGCTTTATATGAAGGAGATGCTACAGCAGAAACTACTCATATTGAAATTGAGCCTTTTACCATCTTAGGGGTTATTGCAGGGCTTATTCCCTATCCTCATCATAATCAGTCACCCCGAAACACTTATCAGGTTTCCTCATCTTTCGTTGCTCTTGTTTCCTCTTTCTCTCATCTAAACTCATTATATGCTTGTTGCCTTGTATCATGAAATTCATTCTTTTTGGATAACTGTAGTGTGCGATGGGAAAACAAGCTATGGGGAATATAGCTTACAATCAGGTAAAATTGTTTTTCTTGTTTTTATGGAACAACTGTAAAAATTTGGAGCTTTTTTTTAAACACATAATTTAACAAGTTTTCAATGGATTTGTTTTTTATGCAAGTAAATATGTATGTTTGCGCAAGTGTGCAGGTCCATGTCCACATGGATCAAGATTTGAAATCCTCATGATTTTGTGAATTGATCTGAAACAGACAATATACTCTTTTCTTTGATACGAGTGAGGAGGATCCTTGTTCATATAGTCATGTCATGGGAGAATTTGCAACAGTACTCCCAAAACTAAGGAGAGTGTATTATCCCCGGGATTTAACTTATTTGACAATAGGTTCAATAAATAAAATAAATAGTAAAACACACTTCTAATGGATTCAAGTAATCAAACTGTCAGAACAGTAAAGGGGTATTCATAGCAAACAATATGTCATGGGTAGTTTTGTCGATTTTTGTTGAAAATATGCCTACATTTGTGATTATAAATAGTGTCTAATGGTGCTTGTTTTGACGTCATAGGAATTATTCCCAAAAATAAGTATCTTACATTGCCCCTTCTATGGGTAATCTTGGCTTGTAAGTTGGACAGGAAGTTGTTCTTTGCTACTCTGATTAAAATGTAGTCATGGGAATGGAGGCTGTGAGGATTTCACTCTAGATCACTTGATTGTAGAGATATAGGTTATATGTCAAAAGGTAGTCATCCAAAATACATATGCTATTATGTGCTGGCCCAGTCATGAGTTTTATTTCCATTAAATGTATGGTGGTCATTGATTTTTGGCCATGCATTTACTATTAACTGCGTCAAATGCATCTTGTAGATGTAGCTCCTGGAGTCAAGCCATTCTCGTGTTGTCTTTGCCTTTGGATTTCTCATCTATGGATGTCTTGCACCTTGTACCCTTCTTGGGTGGTGGTTGAATAAGACCCACCACTTTCTTGGGTGGCAAAAACAACCTGTGCTCCACCATACTTTGCTTGAGTGGAACCCCATTTTGAGCTGTTAGGCCTTCTTCTTGATCTTATAAGGCTTTTCTTGCCTTCTTGGCTTGTCTTTACAAGAATATCTCTGGCATCCTTGCAAGAGATTGGGCTTCGTGTGTGGTCTGAGGTTTAAATAAGTGAAGAGGCCTTGTGTAATCTTCTTGTAAAGCTGAAATGTATGCTTTCAATAAATACTCTTCGGGAAACTGAGGGTTTGTTTGGGTTGTAACAGAAGTGCTTCTGAAAAGTACTTTTCTACAAATCGAGATAAACTCTTCCATATATTTATTTCGTATATCGTAAAAGTACTTTTAAAACCATGTTTTGATTCTATCCAAACACCTCTGGAAGCTTGAAGGCAATCAATATCATTGTTAAATTCTGTTTTGCTCCAATGTTGTTGAAGACGCAACATATTCCTTTCTTACATGTATCCTTGCAATTGTGTTGACATTGTGAAGACCATCTTGCTCAATTTTTTGACTAGGTTCAATTTCTCCTACTGGCATCCAATCTTGTTGAGCCATTCCTCCGTTACCTTTGTGTTGTTCTTGTGGGTGCCAAGACCTGAGTGTTTCTGATACCACCTTTGTAGAATATTTATTGGGAATGAGAGATAGTGGGAGAAAGGAGGAGAATGAGAGAGAAAGATAGAGCAGAGGGGGGAAAAGAGAGAATAAGGAGAGATAGAGTGGGATGTGAGAGAGAGAAGGGAAAACTTTACATTCACAAGTTTTATTACAACATATTGAATCCCCCTTATTTATAGGCCTACTTAATGACTTGTTAACTAGTTCTGATTCTTTCCTTTTTGTTAGCATATCATATCATGTTACTCTTGCAAAAATTGACATGCTCAATGTATTTTATTAACTAAATTTTCTTTGGATGTTATGTTACTCTTGTAGCTTTGCCGGATGGACACCTTGTTGTACCTACTGGTTTATCCTCAACGACCTTTGCTGACTACCAGGACAATTGAACTGGTTGGTATATTGTTACCCCTGTGTTCTTCAAATAAAGTGTTGGGGCTAATCCTTAATTCTTTCAGGTTGGGTATGATAAGCTTGGAGCCGGCCAGAATGCCACAGTGGCTGTTATGAGCTATAGTGGCTATGACATAGAGGATGCAATTGTCATGAACAAGGCATCTCTTGATCGTGGGTTTGGCCGTTGCATTGTTATGAAAAAGTAAATAACTTAATTTGGTGATTTTACACTTCATCTTGTTGGGCAGTGTTTTGCTGTATTTCTTTAACCCTTCATCTAAGGTGACCAAGACATGGTATTTCCTTATGTATAGGTACACTGCTATTAATCAAAAGTATGATAATAACACATCAGATAGGATACTTAGGCCTGATAGAACTGCAGATAATGCGGGGCGTATGCAGGTAACATGCTTTGATAGAAATCACTCTTCTATTGATTTTATTGTGTACTGATTTGTTTGAAATGTACTAAGGTTATACTGCCCATAACTTATTCATATATTGTGATTCAAGAATTGTTTTGGTAACCAACTTTCTAGGGGAAAACTGTTTTGTGTACTGCCAAGGCGAACTTTTTATTCATAGGGGCTTTTGTCAAGTTAGATTTGGCTTCCATATGTTCTATAAGTCCAGTGAGTCAATGCTTATTCAGAAGTTCAAATAATCTAGAGCATTATTGACTTCTAGGATGAACCTTTGAAGAGACTGATGAGTGGTCATAGGAAAGAGGCGGTTTAATGTATCTTCCTCTGAGTAAACGCATTAATGCTTGTTGATAGGTTGATGGGCTAGGAGCTAAGAAGAATGTACAAATTTATTATTATCTCTTGAGCTTATAAGATATATAGTAGCGTCCATAAACTCAATCTGGGGGGTTGGGGGGGGGGAAGAGATAACAAAAGTTAGTAATCCTGCACTCCTGCTGAAATTTGTGAGGATGTGTCAAGAATACTTAGATGAGCAAACGTGAAATTCAGTTATTGCAGCTTTGATTTTGGACATTATCTTTTTGTTATTACATAGGTGTACCTCAATGATTTTGTTTTCTGATTTTTCTTTTGATAAAATCCTGATGAATTTTAACGTGCTTAGTTTTGTTACGGGGAACCCAGCTCTTCATAATGTCTCAATCTTGTGCAATGAATCCATGGGAGCATTAATGGCATTACTCCCGAATACATAATTTTTGTGTATTTTCTTGGGACGCCTCCTCTTTTCTGCATTGAGCTACTGTGCATGTAAAAGTACTTTAAAGCTCCCAATTTTGAATTTAAAAAATTCCTCACCCAATACTTTCTTTAGGTGAGTGACTTCATTACATAATATCGTCTTTGTAAACAACCAGACTAGTGCCTTCTAATACCTTGAGGAAAAGGGATGTGATTTGCTTCCCTTTGTGTAAAACCAGGCCTTAATAATTCCTCCAAAACACGCTCTTATGGATTGCTTGAGTCCATGTAGAGATTTTGTAATCTGTGCACAAAGTTGTTATTGAATTTGTTAAGCCCAGAGGGACGTCCATGTAAATTTCCTCTTCAAGATACCCATTGAGCAAGGTTACAATTCTGAAGGAACTTCTCTATCTGCCAAAATTACCACCCAAACCATCTTGGATGAACATCTTTGCTTGCTCTGGGAAAAGTAGTGCCTTTTGACGAGGATTATCTCATTTTAAAGCAAATCAGATACAGGTGGCGATTTCTTTTAGAACACTCACTACTTGGCTAGTTTTGCCAAATCAATTTCCAAAGCATTTTGGATATGTTTGGGAATTTGGAGGGGAGCGGAGAGTAAGGGAGGGAATGGAAAGGGAAGGAAGGGGATATGTTTGGTTGGTTGTATTTGTATTCGGGCATCATGTTCTTATACGGTGCAATACAACTGACCTTGTCTTTTCCAATTTTCTGAACAATCAAATAATGCAAATGAATACGGTCTGTGCTCGGCTGTCTTGTTTGCTGCGTTCCCATCCATAAGTGCGCAGAGATCAGTTGTTGTATCTCCTGATTATTCAAAAGGTGATTTAAGTTAAGCTTCTATCTGACTGTGACCAAACACTGTTGAGTCTTCATCTTGCTACTTATCTTCAGCCTGAATCTCTCGTACAGCAACTGGTTCCTACCATTGGGCTTTTCCTGTCATGGACTTTGCTATAATAAATTTGCTAGCAAATATTATTCGCACACAAATTCAAGCATGTTTCTGAGGCTTTTTAATTCTTTCTTTGCTGTGGCATAATTGTGATTTGTGAGAAACATATTGATGTGCTGTCATTTTTATAGTACTGTAGACATCTTTTTTTTTTTTTTTTGGCCAAGACAACTCATGATTGATTGAATTAGACCATAAATCTATTGTCCACAAAAACTATCTATGTTGATTTAAATGTGATTTAAATATTTTCCTATGCTGTTGGATATTTTCCTATTCTCCTTAGATACTTGATGATGATGGGCTTGCTGCACCTGGGGAAATTATAAGGCCAAATGACATATATATCAATAAACAATCCCCTATCAATACGAAGACTGAAATGAAAGGATCTGCTGCAAATTTGCCTGATAGGTTAGTCTTTGAACTTTGAGTGGAAATATTGGTACCAAGGGGACTTCTATTAGAGTCATGCTGCATGATGTAATATCCAATGTATTTTTTTTGGTTTCCTCACTGCCAGCGCATATCAACCTAGTATACAAACATTCAAAGGTCCTGAAGGAGAATCTTGTGTAGTGGACAGAGTGGTTCTGTGCTCTGATAAGGATAACAACATGTGTATCAAATTTTTGATTCGTCATACTCGTAGGCCAGAGGTAAATAGTTTTAGGTTTTGTTGTGGAGAGTTTTACTTATTTTGAATTTTCTTATGGACTTTATTTTTGTTGCTTTAGCTTGGTGACAAATTTAGCAGCAGACATGGGCAAAAAGGTGTTTGTGGAACAATCGTTCAGCAGGAAGACTTCCCATTTTCTGAGCGTGGCATTTGTCCTGATCTGATTATGAATCCTCATGGATTTCCTAGGTAATATGATTCATCCATCAATCATATTCTTCAATATGGCATGTGGGAAGCTGGGTAAAAACTTGTTCAATTTCTTTTGACATATCAAGTTATTTGCCATATGGTTGTAAATGAGGGAGATCTGACGTGAGTAGTAAATATTTGATTATTTGGGCATTATATTTAATTTAGAATAAGGGTTTTCCTATTTTAGAGTTTATTTGTATTTGGATATATTGAAATAAGGCATTATATTGGGATCATTAATGAAGTTCTGTTTTTACTCTCTTAATCCCATCCTATTTTCTTTTCCCATCTTTTGCATCACAATGTCATAATAAAAAGTTTAAACTTATCTTTCTATAAGTATGTTGGAAGGCTACTTTATGGATTCATGATTGTTTTCCCTGCCAGTCCATTTCTATATTACCTTGGATAGAGAAAGAGGAAAAATTGAAGATTTCACACAGTACTTGTGATCGAAACATTGACAGCTAAAATATTTTAAGGAAAGTTATTTGCCTATTTGTGGGTGGCTATTTATGTGATGTAGGCTTTTACTTTTCTATGGATAATTTCTTGGTTTATTGTAAATACCTTTGTGAATTCTAGTAGGTTTAGATTCTTAATCATTTTAGCCAAAATATATCCTACCAACTTGCTAAATATGATATGCGCGCGTGTAAATATATATATATATATATATATACGGATAGTTGTTGAGACTGTTTGGTCAAGCATGCATAACCTAGTAGATTGTCGGGGGTTTCAGACTCCTAGTAAAGCAATGATACTTGAAACTAGTTATGATTTTTTTTTTTTGGGGGGGGGGTTGGGTTGCTGAAAATGCTTTTTAGTTTGGCATAAGTCCAAGGTGGAGTGTGTTGAATTGATTGGTACTATACAAGCAAGTGCCATAGCTCCCTCTTTTTATGGGTCATCATTTTATTTCCAGCTTCTATTTTTTCTTTCTAGTTGCAATGTTTAACATTGAGCCATCTCTTATTTTTTCCATCAATACCATATTGTCCTTAGGTAAGAAATTTTTTTTGTAACATTGTTGCAAATTCTTCTTGATCTCACCTTTTTTATGGTATTAGTCGTATGACAGTTGGAAAGATGATAGAGCTACTTGGGGGAAAGGCTGGGGTTTCGTGTGGTAGATTCCATTATGGAAGTGCTTTTGGAGAAAGAAGTGGCCATGCCGACAAGGTTGAAACTATAAGGTATCTTACTTGTCTATGGTGTAGCCTTTATCATTTATCGACACTTGTATTCTTAAAAGTTTATTACACTATGGCAGTGAAACTCTTGTGAAGCATGGGTTCAACTACAGTGGGAAAGACTTCATTTATTCAGGTTTTCCCTTTGGCATCTCCTAGAGTTATCATCTATGCAATAAGTTTTCTATGACAATATTTTTGGGCTTTTGTTTAATGAAACAGCTTGTATACAAAGAACACTGATATCAGGTTAGATCCATAGATGTATGATAAAAGTTGAAGTATGAATATGACAAGATCTAATTGCATTGGCTGTTCTTGGGGGGTATTTAGTTAGAGTGGATGCTTATGTTATTGTATAAATATTACTAGCATAAATGTAATTAGTATAATCTGTATCATTAGTATAGGGTTGAGTATTATTACATTAGGATATTGTTCTGTCATTATGAGTCATTAATATTGAGACTCATTTCTCCCTATCTATGCACACCCATTTCCTGATCTTGAATATACCCAAGAAATCCATGTAATCTTTTTCTATTTCTTTAAATGTTATCAAGGCAATAAATTTTATTTTATTTTTAATTATTTAGCATTCTGTATCCTTTCTAGTCTTCCGGTGACACGGTTGACAGATTGAGGGTTTGAGTTTGAGCATGGGAAAGTATGTTGATATGTGGTTTGTAAATAAGTACTTAGGGTAGTTAAGTTATTTCATTTAGAAATTTTTTAATGTTTATAATATTTAATCGATATTCAAATTAGATATTTAACGATTTAAGTTGGATATTCAATTAGGATTAGGATCCCATAACTTATAAATACGAGTACTGATCAGTATTTTCTCATATGTTTTGATTTCTCAAATTATGTAGTCAACCTTGTTTTGTTTTCCTATTCTCTTTCTATGCTTCTCTCGCTTTCACCCTTCTTCTACAATTACCCTATCAGTGGTACCAGAGCCAAGCAACTCTTGGCCTGTATGCCTGAAACTTGTTCTCAGAAGAGCAATTTGAAGGATGGGTTCAAGCTATTAAAGAAGAACTGAGAGAACTTAGCGCCTTACCTACTATGATTTGGGCTCTGTCTAACCAAATAGAGATGCTCACTCAGGATGTAGCATCTGGCAATGATGGAGCGTTAATGGTCACTGTCGACCAAAGCGACCATGACGATGACGCAGGGAGTATCGACCTCCTACTTGATTCACTAAGGTGGATTTTCCCTATTTCTAGCGCTCTGACATAAAGCACAATGGATATTTAGATGAGGTCCTGGAAGAGTCAAAAGTTATGGCATCCACCTGGATGAAAAAGCATACCTTTGGCACCAAGTGCTAGCATAGGACAAGGAGGGTTCACAAGGCAAGTTCGAATTTTGCAACCACGAACAGTGCTGTAGGTGTGAAGAATAGCAAAAATAATGAATTTCAAATCCCACTTGTTGCTTATTCAGATGAATCGTTGATGGACATTAGGAAAAGTTGGGAAGAAGATGCAGATTTGAAGGGATTAATTTCACAAAATATTCTTGGGATGGATGATTTTTAAGGAAACATTGCAGATTAGTAGCTGGTGAATTCCCAAATGGTGTGGCGGAAAATACTGGAGTGGCTTCATGCTATCCCTCAAGGCGGGCATCGGGTATTCATGCTACTAAAGGGTGAAGTCATTATTTTGGTGGAAAAATTTATTTACAGATAGTACAGATTTTATTCAGCATTGTGATACACATGCAACGTCGAAATATGAAGCTGTGGTGTATCCAAGCTTCTTGCAGCCTTTTCCCATACCTAGTAGAGTGGGAAAGTATCGCTATGGACTTTATCAAAGGGTTGCCTAAGTCCAATGGAAAATATACGGTTTGGGCGATTATAGACAAGTTAAGTAAATAAGCTCACTTTGTACCACTCTTCCATCCCTTTTTGGCTCTATATTGTTTTAACAATTTTTGGACATCAAACACCAAAAATGTAATACCTTACTCTAGGAACCTCTATTAGCAATATTTTACTAATTATGAGCCACCAAGGACTTATTCAGTAGCTTGAAAAACTAGACTTCTAAAAATTTCTTCTAAAAACTCAAGGTACTAACGGAATGGAATTCTCTGAAAAATAAAAAATCCAAAGATTACTTTTAGCAAAACTAACTTGGTGGTTCAAACACTATCAATTCCTATTTGCAAAAACTTTTGATAACAAAATAGATCCGGATTCTTCCTCTTTCCTATTGCCCAACACATTCTTAATATAATCAAAAGAACCCATTTCTTACCATGTCAAGACTTAGAACCTGTATAATAGGCATACAAATCATTCAGGCGCATTTCATACATTTGCCCTATGAGTATATATATCTGTCAATTTTACGTGTGAAGTTGATGTTTAGAAACTTATTTGCCTTGTATGTGTAGGGAGAAGCCTAAGGATTGGTGCAAATGGCTTGCTTTGTTGAATGGCGGTATGATGCCACCTCAACAAGGATAATTCCTTATGAGTTGTTTGGGCAAAAGTCACTAGTGCATATCCTTTATTTGCCAACAAATGCCTTTGTTAGCGTGAGAAAAGACTTTGTTGATTGCTAAATATAACCTACATAGGGCTGTGAATAGGATGAAGCAAAAAGCAAATTTGCATCGATCAAATAGGGAGTTTCAAGTGGGACAATGGGTTTTTCTCAAGCTCCAACCGTATAGACAGATTTCTGCTGCATCTAGGAGCTCTCAAATATTGGGTCCTAGACATTTTGGATCTTATAGCATTTTGCAATGGATAGGGCTAGTTGCATACAAATTGCTTCTGCCACTTGATTCAAGGATACAATCCACCTTTCACATCTCCTTGCTGAAGTTGTGTCTTGATCTAACTGTTAAGCAACGCACTCTCCCATTGATTGGCCTACTTCACCTTAACACTTGGAACTCAAGAAGATTTTGAACAAGAGAATGGGGAGGAAAAGACGCAGAATTATTTCAGTAGTCTTGGTGCAATGGAAGAGCCTTCCGGATGAAGAACTATATCGATTGCAACAACACTTGTCATTTCACATCATGGACCCTTAAGGGCAAGCGCTCTTCACAGGGGTATTGATATGTGATTTGCGAATAAGTAATTAGGGTAGCTAAGTTATTTTGTTCAGTATATTTAGAATAATTTATTATGATTTGGATAGAATATTATATTAAGATTTAGATAGAATATTTTATTGATGCTGAAATTATATATTTAAGGATTTGAGTTAGATATTTAATTAGGATTAAGATTATCCATGACTTATAAACATGAGCGGTGGTGAGTCTTTTCTCATATGTTTTGAATTATCGAATTATTTAGTAATTCTAGTTTCTTTTTTCCCATTCTCTTTTTGTTCCTCTCTCTTTTTCACCCTTCTCATGCAATCACCCTATCATATGTTGCTTAAGAAAATCCTTATATGGCTTAGAGCAAAGTCCTCATGCTTGGATTCAAAATTCGATAGGAGTCAAAAGTAAGTGACCATTTTGTGTTCTGTTAGAGAACAAATGATATCATGATTCTCCTAATTGTGGGCCTTGATGACATTGTGATTATGGGTAGTAATACCTCGGGAATTTTATCACTCAAATCCTTCCTTCACTTCTTCCAGACAAAAGATTTGGGTTCGCTAAGGTACTTATTAGGAATTGAGGTTTTGAAGAGTAAGAAAGGCATTGACTCATAGGAAATATGTTCTTGACTTTTTGAAGGAAATAGGAAAGGTAGGAGTTGCACCATGCATCACGTTGTGGCCCCTGATCCACTACTTGATGCTTGTAAGAGCAAACTGTTTGAAGCTCTTGAGAAATATTGGAGACTAATTGGGAATTGAACTATTTCATGGCTAGTCATCCTGGTATCACTTACTTGGTCAATGTGCTCAATCAATTCATGGCATCGCCAACTGCTAATTAATCAGCAGCTTTGGAGTATGTCTTTTATCACCTAAAGGGAATCTCAAGTCGAGGTGTAAAATACAGGAATCATGATCACATAGACATTTAGTGTCCTCGTGGGTGGAAATTTGGGGTCTTAGGGGAGCAAGGAGCAAAATGCGGTATCAGAGTTGAGCATAGAATCGAAGTATGGACCTATGGCATAATCTGTGTGGTAGATAGTGTGGGTGTATCAATTATTGAAGGAGGTTGGTCTCAAGACCTTGTTACAAGTGAAGCCATGATGTGATAGTTAAGCTGCCTTACACATATGACTTAGCCTCCAACTCTGTGTTTCATGAACTTGCAAAGTACATTGAGATTGGTTGTCACTTTGTTAGGGATAAGATTAAGTAGATTTTTATTTCTACATGATGTGAAAATTGGGAATAATTGGGTGATCTGTTTACAAAAGCCCTCAATGGGGCTAAGGTTGATTACCTTTGTAGCAAGTAAGGCATGATTAATAGCTATACTCCAACTTGAGGGGGAGTGAAAAGATATTATTAGCATTAACGAAAGTAGTATAATACATATCATTAGTATAGGATCAGATATCATCACATTAGGATATTATTCTATGTCACCTCGAGTCATTAATAGCAAGACTTGTCTCTCCCGTATATGTACCCGTTTCCTAACCATGAATATAGACAAAAATTCATATAATCTTTTCTATTTTTCTATACTTATTGAGGGTGCTTTTGCTTTGACATTTGTTATTTTGTGGCTTCTTGTTGGTGTTTTTAGATGGTTTCTGATAGGATCAACCTATTTAAAAATACCTATAAGAGGCGACAGAGGCAGAAGCAAGCAAATGGCAACAGTCCTTTCTAAGCAACCTGGGAGTTGACTTCTATTTCCTACCTTTTTGGAGAAAGTAGCACACTCTAATGTCTTTTAGGTCTGTGTACTAGGTTGTGTATTTTGGGAGACTGTGCTGTTTACTTTTAAGTATTTTAGCCGTTGTAGCTTGGGGGGGGGGTAAGACGTTTTTTGCATGAGTGTATGGTGAGGAGAGAGCTGACCTCTCGAATGTCAGGACCATTGTATGAGCTGTGAGTGTGAGTGAATCATTTTGTGTAACTTCCTATCTCCCACTGAGTAGGAGGATTGCTATTGATTAATCATATTCGAGTAATATCTTCATTTCCAGGAACCCGTTTACTGTTTCATTATCTGCTTATTGTTGTGTCTAGTTCTGGTTCCTATCAGTTTCTTAAAGAAATGTTCATGTTTAATGCAGAGAGATTGAAAAGCTTTAAGGCAAAAAATAAATTTTTTTATTATTTCTTTATTCTTTTTGGCTTCTCTGAACTGTGTTAAAATGAAAATATCATTGTGTGAATCCATAAAGTTGGAGGCCTTATTTCAGCAATTTAAGCTGCCTTCGGCTAATTGTTGAAGTATCCTGATTCACCTTTTTACTCTTCAGGTATTACGGGTTGCCCGTTGCAAGCATATATTTTTATGGGGCCAATTTACTACCAGAAATTAAAACACATGGTGGGTGTGAAATTCTAAAATAATAGTCTATTTTTTTCACTTCTTATGCCTACTTTCAAGACTTTGATTATAGAAATGCTTCTATTTTGTTTATGTTCAATCTTGTGGGAGTGGATAATGCATTTCTTCTAACGATCGAGTTGTGTTGCTTGAAAGGTTATTTGATGAGAGCAGTCTTTACTTTGGCACTCCAGGGATGCTCTGCTTACTTGCAAATGATGTTTTGTTCACATGCTCATGGCTTATCAACTATCATATTTGTCCACCTTTTTTTTTTGCTCAAATCATATTTGTCCGCCTTAAATTGAAAAAGGGCCACACAAATTTCATTTATCCTGTCAGGAAAATAAAGGCAGGAGATGCTGATATTTTTTCTAAGACTACCTTTTACTGGTTAAATCTATGTGGAATTGTATCTAGATTCACATCCCCTGTAGACGCAACGTTCATAAGCGATTGTAAACACTTGGTCCTTGGCATCTTTTCCAGTTATTCAGAATTTCGCATAACTATTCTTTGTATGTGTCATGCTTGTTTTGGAAAAAGCAACCTAATTGTTCATTTACTAGATAGCTTATTTTTTCCTTTTGACTTTTCAAATATTCAAGATGAAATTAATGCTCCTATTTTAGTTTAATATACTGATACTATTATTTTTATATTAGAAGAAAATTTTATATTTGATATCAAGTAACTTAATAGACCTTCGCTGATAGTATATTTATCTTAAAAAAGCATTTTGCATGGGAAATCATTTTATTTTTTTGTTTACAAAGTAATATTGTAACCTTCAATTTATGAATATTTCCTCTCATGACTTCACATTTCCTTGCATTCCATATGAATAAAATTTGCTGGGATTTTAAAAGCAAGGTCTCTGGTGATGTTCAGGTGCTTGATAAAATGCATGCTCGAGGAAATGGTCCACGTGCAATGATGACTAGACAACCTACAGAAGGGAGGGCTAGAAATGGAGGTTCTGATTCTATCCTTTTTGTTGAATTGTTGATTTTATCGTTTACAAGAAAAGGATAACACGAGAGGATAAGCAAGAAGCACTTGATGACATCGCTCAAATTCAATGATAAAAGAAGAAATACTTGAATATATATGATACGTTCATAGAGGCGACTCAACAATGACAATTTTGCTAGGAGAGCCATAAACTTAAATGCCTAAGCAACGTAAGCTTAAAGGGCTGAGCAATCTTAATTCAAGGCTTTCTAAGTTTCTGTATAGACTGAAACTCCTACTCTTTATATCTTTGGCAATAATTAAAACTTACAAAAAGCAACCCTGTCTATTTCTCAAAGCTTTTGCCCGGATCCAGAAGACGTGAAGGTAGCCCTCCCTTGTCTTTTTTAGTGAATCATCCTATCTGGAAGTGATACTTGATCCGGAATGTAACATGCGTATAGTGGCTACGGTGAAGATAATGAAGATACCAAAATAATAGCATTGTTATGTGGTAGCCTGACTTGCTTCTACTTATATAATTAATCCCCCTTCAGGTCTACGGGTTGGAGAAATGGAACGTGATTGTTTGATTGCTTATGGTGCTAGTATGTTGATTTATGAGAGGCTTATGTTATCTAGTGATCCTTTTGAAGTTCAGGTAACTCCTGTACTTTGTTATTGTATGCATACATTTTGACATATTGCATTGTTTTTTTTTTAAAAGTTTTTTTTGGTGACATTTCATTTTTTTTAATCATCCCAATATAGATACAGTTCTTAAACTTCATAATTTTTCTAAAATAGTAATTGCTTGCAGCAATGCCGTCAATTCACATTTCTCTGTGAACAAACTTGCTTTGATGAATAGCAAACATTAAATCCCATAAGGTCTTACTCCTCTAGTCCTATTTACAAGTCACTTTCAGCATGTTTCATACAAACCGATGAAAACCTTAGACTACGTTAATACTCCATTAAAATATAACAATTTTTTTTAACTTTACCACTATTAATATGTACACCTTAAAAAAAAAAAACTATCTGTAATATAATAAATGAAGGACAAAATGGTAAATTTCTTCAAAAAATTTAATGAAGTGACTTATAAATAGGATCAAGAAAAACCTTCTCTCCTTGTCTTATAATTAGGACCAAAGGAGTACCTTGCAAACCAATCAGTCAATGATGTATTATTTCTTGTAATTGTTATATATTCGTGGGTTAGAAATATATTTGCTTTTGACATTTCTGCTTATACTGCTAATAAGCCTAATAGGTAGTATTTATGCAACGTAGGGAAGCTTGATTAATACCCAAAGAAAAAGGGAAAAACCTGTGTTAAATGCAGCCTATCTTATGTTTTCTTGGGCTGTTTCAATTTAATTTAGCTATTGGCCTGACTTAGTTTTAATTTCACAAACTTTGGTTGATTATATTATGGGAGTTTCCGAGATTGCTCTTATCCACTGCACCATCTAAGGGCGTCAGGCTCTTTCTGATTACCTCGGAATTTCATTGAATTTCAAATCTCAATGAAAAAAGTGAAAGTCCATTCATTAGAACCTTTTTTAATTGATTTGAATGATTGGAGTTTATATCCAATTTGTCTGATGATATCTATCTCTTGACACAGGTCTGTAGGAAGTGTGGCTTGTTAGGGTATTACCACCATAAGCTGAAAACTGGAATTTGTTCATTTTGTAAAAATGGAGATAATATTTCTGCCATGAAACTACCGTATGCTTGCAAGCTCTTGATCCAGGTATGTTTTATGCTTCCCCACAAGAATATCAGCAGTTTTGAATCTTCTGCAAACCCTCAAATGCTTAAATCAATCAGTTCAGATCTACCCCATCCCACAATACATATATATATATATTTCTCTTATATAGAGTATATTAAAAGTGGTAATGCACATCTATAATTCTTTTTTGTTAATTTCATTATGCTATTTGGTAGTAGATACTAGCTCCGAATTTCTTATAAATAGGCCTGGAGGTAATTTCATCTTATTTTTCGTTGTTAACTCATTCGTTTCTTAAATATTCAGGAGCTTCAATCAATGAATATTGCACCTCGCTTGAAACTGGCAGAGGCATAAAGGAGTGAAGACTAGATTCTCTCCTCTCTTTTTTTCCCGCTTTATTTAGGCGTGCTTAAATACTCTAGCAACTTCACGTTTTTGGATCTCTTGATGTGAAGCACATACTCTTCTGCCACACACTTTTATATGCAACTGGAGATTCTTGGACATAAACGACAGGAGAGATTCCATTGGCGAGTCGTAAGGTGATGAGCTGCTTCTTGCTTTGTAAATTAAAATGTAAAGGATAGCCATTCCATCGAAAATTGAAGATGGAAGTATAAAGGAAAAAAAAAATCATTTTATCCCAAATTAGGGGTTTTAAATTTTGAAATTATCTTCAAGAATGTAATGACATAAGTAATAGCATGAAATACCAAATTCTATGTATATACGTGATATAAATTTAAGTCTCTCCAGTATGAAACTGTAATTTTAAATATAGTTGATGGGAAGTCTTCAATTATGGACCTTTGTTCCTTTTGTTTGATGTCTGAATTGAACTTGAGTTTCTGGGTAAAAAAATTATTGAGTTTCTCTTGACTTATGTAGTCTTTTGTAAACCTTTTGTTATCTAAAAAAAAAATTGAAGAGGGATGGGGAAAGTCTCATCTAAATAAGCTCTTCCTCCTCTTATTATCTCACTTCATCATACGTCACCTCTTCTCATGTTGTTCCCACTCCAAGAGGAAGAACTCAAACCAATTACCTCCTCTATTCCAGAAGTCTACGATGTCCTCTTAGCTCTCCCTTGAAACCAGTCACATTAACATGATGAGTTGCTTATATGGGACCTACGTTAATGGCAAGTTTTGCCTCCCTTAATGTTAAGGGCTGTGTTCAATTGGATTGGTGGGGAAGTGCACCATAGCTCGTAAAGCATAGAATTGATGGTTCAATTTGGATTCTTGCCCAGACCGTTTGAAGAATTTGTATCACAAATATAGTTTGGGATTCAATCCCTTTTTAGAGTGATTCCTTTGTGTTTGGCGTTTCTTTCAGCCCTCTTATGTATTTTTTTTTTTAAATTTCTCACGCATCTGAATGCTGAAGATGGGGATGAATTAGGTGTTATGAAAATTTTGCAGTAATAGAACAATTTAAACTTAATCAATATAGAGTAGAATGAAGAAGATATCACCTATCATTTGGAGGAAGAGTAAGAAAAGATGTACACAGAAATCTATATTCATTCGTTTTACTACTTGAGCTACATTTAGTTTCTAAAACACTTGAGATTTTAACTATAACTCCTAAGACTTAGTGGGCTCTTGATACCACTGCATTAAAGCAACATCAATGTACTAAAGACAGTCGCTCCCCTTACCCATTTGTAAGACTATATGCCTACTTAGACTCCCACAATCCTAAACAATAAGTGAAAAGTTTTTCTTTTAACAAAGTAAATGGTAAACACTAAAACACAATAAATTTTCTAGAGAATGTTGGCAATGAATAAGTACTTGAGAATATTTTTTTTATATCTCTTCTTTTGTTCTATTATTTTTCACTCAATGCAACTTTTTCTATTTGTAATGCAGCTCTGAAATTTTTTGTTAGGCATAAAGAGTTTCTCTTGTTGAAACTTGTGTCTGCAGTAGTTAGGGCATTAAATGAAACTTCATGTTGAAACTTGAGTTTGAAGTAGTCGACGACATGTAATGCTTCTGACAAGAGTGCTTTTAGATCTTAATCTTCTCATAAGATCTCAAAACTTTCTTTGATCTCGTGCAAAGAGTGGTATATTATTTTCCAAAAATATTTTTGACAAGATACTCACTCAACAATCTGTAAGAATATTTTCAAGTATGGAGAAAAGATTACTCAAAAAGAAACCCACTGAGTTTTCGACAAATTGGAGTTACTTAGAGGAAATCATAACATGAAGAGTGAGGAGTGGCTCGGATAGGATTAGAGTTATTTTTTATTTGCATTGAACTTAGAATATATTCGAGTTAGATGTTTAGAATATAGTTTTAGAATTTTATAGCAACTCAAATTTAAAGAGTGTCTCGGATAGGATTAGAATCATTTTTTATTTGCATTGAATTTAGAATATATTTGAGTCAGATGTTTAAAATATAATTTTAGAACTTTGGAGCAACTCAAATATAAAGAGAGTTAAATTTGACTTTTGACGAACTTAAAGTTGACTCGAGTCAAATACTTAAGATGTAAGATACTATACTCAGATAGAACTTGGGGCCTTTTTGGCTTATCAAACTTAAAACCTATGCGAGTTGGTAGGCATAGATTCAAAATAAGCCTACTTGAATTTCCTCTGCCACAGACTATTTTACACCGGGGACTATCAAGAATACTCAACATTCGTAAAAGGAAACATTTGAAACTCCGAACCGACTCTAGGCAAAAGCAACTTTTGGGACATTTTGACAGAACATTTTTATGTTATCTTATAGATTTATCAATATATTTCTCATCATCAGAACATTGGGTGAAATAGTTCTTCCCTGTTGTTTGCCAGCTTACTTCCTCGCTTCCTCAGCTGCCTTTTGTCGGCTCGTCTTCCGCCACTGCTGAGCAGCTCCTCCCTGAATGAAGCATCGGCATCAGATTGCTCTGATTCACCACCGTTTGGTCTCATAGTATTGACAACGAACTTGGAAGTGGCTCCAGAGGAATCAATATGCATTATTAGCGCTTTCCTTTATGGTTGATTAAAAAGGTCCAGAACCAATGCACTACTCGTTGATGAAGGAGGAAGAAAGAGTGATTTTGTGTTGGGGAAAGAGAAGGATCTGTGAAAAATTTGTGTTGGCGGTGGCTGAGTCTAAGGAAAAAGATGAGGGAGGAAGAAGACTAACAATGAGAGACAAGAAAGCGAAAATGAATGGGATCCGCTTCAAAAAAATAAGCAGACGTTTGGGCAAACTAATAAGAGTCGGAAAATTGCTTCGTTTTACAAAGTTTGTATGCACTTTTGTATCCTTCAAAACTTTATGATGCCTTACATTTGTAGTGCAAAACTGTACTGTTAAAATTACACCTTAATTTTTACTTAAAATTTCATTAATTGCAACTTTTATCGTTTATTGGATGTAGTATATAGAATTGAACATGGATAAATTTGAAAAAAGAATTTTAGATAAAATTAATAAATTTATTTTCCACTCTTCAATTTTAATAAAATGATTAGAGGTGCCTTATAATATGGAGGAATAAAAATACTCAATTATAATTTCGATACTTTGATTTTTGTAGGAACACGTTTTTTATTTGCTCCACTAATTGAAGAAATTAAGTTGAGTCTCTCTCTCTCTCTGTTTTTTTTTTTTTTAAAATTAAACTCGTATGGGAATGATATTTCTCCCTGCTTCACTATTTGTTGTGGCTAATATAGTCTTGTAATATTTGGGGCGTAAAACAATATATAAGCAAATAATTAAATTACACGATTCGTCAATATAAATATGATTTAGCTAAGAAAAACGTTAGATTTTACATAATTAGATAATTTCCGTAATCCTTTGTAAAAAGGGAACACTAAACTAATCCGCTTGCGTATATTTTTTCGACATTTACCATTTTGTATTTGTCAGTAGGAACTCCATATTTTGTTTGGGTAATTGGAATAAAAATAAATATAAAAACAAGAAAGAAAAAAGAAAGAAAGAGGTTAAAAAATAAAGGGTCAAATACCTTTAAGGATTAGCCTATAATGGAATTAAACAATCTAAATTTCATGATATAATAACATTGTTTATTCATTGTATAAAAAAATTGTTTATTCAATAACCTTATTAAGTAGAACCGTTAACTTTTCGCGCATGCAAGAGAAATTTAAATATGCATATAATGCTGTCTTTCAAATGTATTTATAAAAATTATCTCTAATTAAGACTATCAGCTACTGACTAAAAAGATAAAAATCTCGTCATTAACCAGATAAATGTTAGATGGGAAGGTGCTAAATAAAATTATGCATGATTTAACTACAATATTAGTTACAATATTCAATTTTTAATATGAATGTATTATTTTACCTTTATTTATTATTATGTAGTTTTTTTATTTTTTTTCTTTGAAAGTATATATACTAAATAGAGTTATAGCTGGAAAGTTATTTAAGGCAATTTTAATAAGGTTTAAGTTTATTATTTTATTTTGGTAAAATATGCTGGAAATGACTTTTACATAAGATCAGATGAGTATTAAATAATAAGGGTTAATATCATTATTGATATTTATAGTTTGATTAAATTTTGATTTTGATCAGTTTCAAATTGTGATTGTATTTTCATCCTTGGATGTAGTTTATTCCATCCAAAATATTAGTCCAAGTAGTTGTATAAAAACCTGAATATTAGTTTGACAATGTTAATTTCGTTGATACTGCTAAGTATATGAATCAAAACAAAAACTCATTAAAATTATAGGGACTAAAATAAAAACTCATAAAAGTATAGGACTATAATCAAAACTTGTTAAAAGTATTGTTAGATTTTTGGGCTTGGATCCGCCCTTGATGGGCCGGATTATTTGACCGGGTATAAAGAGAATATATCAGTCAAATATCCAAGTGATATCATGATATGTTTGACTTGGTCAAACATCCTGAATCATATCCAATCGGTTACGATATAAATATAATTAATTTATATTAAATTAATTAATTTATATTGTATAGATTAAATATATATTAAGTATATATATTTAGAATTAATTAAGATTGATTCTGGATTTGAATTCAAAATATCATGATATTATGAGATAAGGATATATTATATCTTATCTCAGATTTTATCTGATGGGCTCAGTGGATATTTTTATGCTACCCAAAATATCCCTGACAAAAGCTATAAATAGAGGCTTCCCTCCATCAGTTCAAATCACTCCAGTAGTAGAGCTTTCCTACTATCTCTCTCTCTCTTTTAATTTTCTTTCTTGCAAAAGTGGTGCTCTGCTGTGCACTTAAAAGCTCAGACTTTTATAGTCTAGCTTAAGCGTGAGCTAAGGAGATCCGACCGACCCGACCCGAGATCCGACCCGGTATGTTTTCGATCCATTATGAAATTTATCTAACATTGGCATCAGAGCCGAGATGTTCTTGAGGCTCTCAATATATGTGTGCATATATATATTACACGCTCATTTTTTTCCGCTGCACCGTGAATATACCGTATGCCATTCGAACTGAATATGCTTGTGTTTTAAACTCAAATACACACTCCGTTTATATAAGTGAAGTTCGAAAACATTACTTGTTACTCCGTAAGATTTAAAAACGTGATCGAAGCCTATTTTCTGAAGCTTCCAACGTCGGCCGTTCGAACCTTGTTTTTGGGTCTTTAAAATTGATGTTTTTTAAAGAAAATAAACCCATAGAGTTGTAGAGCACGAAAATACGAGTCCATAGACACCTAAAATGCATAAAACGGAGCTCGGAGGAGGAAGATACGGCGGTTCGAAAATGGCGGGTCGCGACGGACCCGCCGGAGCTCCAGCCGGATCTGGGGCGACCCGGCTGGAGGTCAGGGACGACCTGACCAGCCCAAAACGGCGTCGTTTTGGGCTGGCCAGGACGCAGCGTTTCACTTTAAGTGAAACGCTGCGTTTCGGGTCCGTGGACCCGGATCCCCCTGGAAGTCGGGTCGGTAGACCGACCCGACCGAATTTTTTTTAAAAAAAAATTATTATTTAAAAAAAAAATAAATAATTTTTTTTGAAATTTTTTTTTGAAATAAAAAAAAATATTTCTTTCTGAAATTTTTTTTAGACGTGCCATGTGGGCGCGTGGGGTCCACCTAGGGACCCTTTGGTCATAAAAAGCACATATATAGACTCCTTGAGACGTGAGGAGCGGCGCGTGTATGACACGCGCCGGTCCCGAGAGTGGGCGAACCTAGCCATAAAAAAAAAAAAAAGGAATTTTTTTTGCTTATTGGGGCGCGTGAGGGCGCGTGAGGGGCTATTTTTGAGCCCTGTTTGACCTGAAATATTTCTAAAATCATGAGTTATGAATTAATATATTATGTGCTGATTTTTATGACTTTTTGGGTACGAAAAATAGCAAATAAATGTTTTTGAATATTTATTTTATTCTTCTTAACTTGTTCTTTTTGGGTTTAGGAAATGGCCAACTCAAACTCAAATTCTAACTCCTCTTTTGGAAAATATCCAACTTATTCTCCACTTTCTGATGCTCCGAAATCTTCAAATAATTATGCTGCCGAAAGTACAAATAAAAGAAAAGCGCTTCAATCACAAGTAAACTCTAATGTACCTGAGGGGAGCAGTGGTAAAAGGAAATGTGTTCCTGACCAACAAGAGGAAGAAGTCTGCAGACCCAAGGACATAAATTTAATAGAAAAGATAGCAGAAAAGCATGCTGATGAATACAAGCATCAAAAGTGCCTATTTTCAAAATTGAGTTATTATGCTAAACAAATTGTCAATGAGCAAGACGCACTCTTTTTCTCAAATATTGCAATCCAGTACAGAGAGGAACTGGCAAGGAGGGGACACATATTTAGTGAAGCATTTTTTAAACAATGTCTCTGTAGATGCTGGAAAGGTGTTAAAGAGAGTTTGAGAGAACCAATGATAAAATATATCATGAATGAATGAGTTTTTGTTCACATTTACATTTCTTTTCATTTAATGTTTACTCTTGAGACTTCATTTTTGGAATTATCCAATTTTTTTTGTAAACATTCATGCTTCAATAAAGTTTTTTTTATTTTTCAAATGCTTTATTTGAGTGGGAGTTTCATGAGGAAAACTCCAAATTGGGGATATGTTCAAGGAAAGTCAAAGGTAAGAAAGGTAAGAGACTAACCAGGAGTAATGGGATGGGAGCCAACCTAGTTGTCTCCTGATCATGAAAATGGTGAGACTCTTACCCAGGCGACCTATGACCTACTTGAACAAAAGTGTGTACATTGCATACCATACTAAAATGCATTGTTGTCTATGTGATAGCACGATGTCTCAAAGAGGAATCAAGTCCATTATAGCTGACCTCGTAGGAGGTGACAAGCTGAACGGAGACAATTACAGCATGTGGCGTCGTAAGATATCGTATGTCCTCGAAGAACAAGAAGTCACTGATGTGTTGACTACTTTTCTTCCAGAGCCTGAGGCAAATGCATCGCGAAGGGACCAGGACGGCTACGCGGCCTGGAAAAGAAGGGACACTATCGCCAGAATAACCATGCTAAGTGCCATGACTGACGATGTGTTGGTGCAATTCGAAACACACCCTTCAGCCTCTGCCATGTGGGCAGCACTGAAATGAATTTGACGGTACCTCTGCTGCGAGGCTTAGGAGACTCACCGTCAAACTTGATAATTTCAAGCTGGGTCCTAACACTCCCATAAGGCATCACCTAAGGGCAATGCAGAACTTAATCAAGGAGCTTAAGGAAGCCGGAGGCGCTCTATCTGACGAGCAACAGATTCAAGCTATCATGAGATCTCTCCCAGCAAGTTGGGATACCATGAAGCACACAATTACTCATAATGAGAGTATAAAAACCTTTGCTGATGTAGCTCGCCACCTCCAACTGGAGGATGATCGGATGGAAACTGTGAAGCCTGTCAGTAAGGCATATTTAACTGAAGGAAAGGGAGGGGCAACCTCCCAAAACCAGTCCAAGAGAAGCAAAGGCTCTCAAAATAAGAAAGGCGGCCCTAAAGTGAAGAAAGGAAAGAGTTCCTTCAAGAAAGGCAAGAAACCTGCAAAGAAGCGGAACATAGCAACCATCAAATGCTATGCTTGCCAACAAAAGGGGCATTATGCCAAGGACTGCCCTGAGCAGAAAAGGTATTGGATTCAGATTCAATACATTTCTCTTATGTTTCTAGCACTGCGTTTATTGCTGAAACTAATCCTGTTTGGGTTATAGACTCAGGGGCCACAGACCACGTGAGCAAGGATCGTGGGAACTTCACAGAATTTCGTCGGTTACCAGCAAGAAGCAGATGGCTTTATGTTGGGAACAACGCGAGAGTAGAAGTCAAAGGGATCGGTACTTGTGAGCTGACCCTGCATGGAGGAAAGACCCTAGTCCTGCAAAATGTCCTCTACGCTCCGGAAATCCGACGAAATCTTGTGTCTGTTATTTCCTTAGTTAGATTTCATTTCAATGTCTTTTTTCATGATTTCACAGTAGACATTTCGTATGGGACCAATTTTTCAGTTTCTGGTTATGTTTCGGATGGTTTCTTTGTTTTAGAAAATTTCAATGATAATTTTTCTAGTTCTTGCTATGCGCTTTCTTCCGATGTCAATTACGATATATGGCACGCTAGATTAGGACATATTGGTCAAGAACGCATGACCAAACTGGCAAAAGAGGGTTTGCTAGGAAACGTGTCCAAAAAGGAAATGTCTCTGTGTGAACATTGCCTTGCTGGCAAGAGCACAAGGAAGCCTTTCGGAAAGGCAACCAGGGCTAACCATCCTCTTGAGTTGGTACACTCTGATATTTGCGGACCAATGAGTGTTAGGGCACGTCATGGAGCATGGTATTTTATTACCTTCATCGATGATTCTTCCCGATATGGCTATACTTACCTGATTTCCCACAAATCTGAGGCATTAGAGTGCTTTAGAAAATATCTCAATCTAGTGGAAAATCAGCTAGGTTCAAGAATCAAAGCCTTAAGAACTGACCGAGGCCGAGAATACCTCTCTGATCAGTTCAAGGAGCTCTGTGAAGAAAGGGGTATTGTTAGGCAACTAACAATCCCTGGCACTCCTCAACAGAACGGAGTTGCTGAAAGGAGAAATAGAACTCTCCTCGATATGGTTAGATCAATGATGGCACAAGCTGAGCTTCCAACCTCATATTGGGGAGATGCTCTTTTAACTGCCACATTCATACTTAACCGAGTGCCTTCTAAATCAGTCACTACAACCCCTTATGAATCATGGACAAACCGCAAACCGGATCTAAGCATCCTAAGACCATGGGGGTCAGCGGCCTATATTCGTGATTCTTCCCATAAATATGACAAGCTAGAACCAAGGGGCAAAAAGTGTATCTTCATAAGATACTCTGAGAACTCTAAGGGGTATGTCTTCATTGGTGAAAATGATGACGGCTCAGTGACTGAGATAGAGTCAAGGGACGCAACATTCATAGAAACCGAATATCCTAGCAGAGGGAGTATTGATCGAACAAGCCGTCTTTATGAGGATGATGGCAATGAGGTACAACAAAGTGTTCCTCAGTCTACTGATCCGAGTGGGAGGGTTGAACCATTTTCACAACAAGGTTTAACCCAGTCACAGGAAGTAAGTCCTGCAACAACCCCACTTAGGAGAAGTAACAGAGACAAAACTCCTAAGAGACGCTTCTCAATTGAAGGAGCAACCTTCATCGTTAGTCCAGAGCACGATGAAGAAGACCCCGTAAGTGTTAAAGAAGCACTAACAGGACCTGCTAAAGAAAAATGGCAGAAGGCCTTACAAGAGGAAATGGATTCCATGGAATCCAACCAAGTATGGGAATTAATTGATCTACCACCTGGCCGAAAGGCAATTGGGAGCAAGTGGGTTCTCAAGTACAAACGTAAGGCTGATGGATCAATTGATAAACCCAAAGCAAGGTTAGTTGCCAAAGGGTATACACAACGGGAAGGAGTGGATTACGCAGACACCTTCTCACCTGTTGTACGTTTCAACTCGATACGACTGATACTGGCTTTAGTAGCAAGTTTAGACTTAGAGTTACATCAGATGGATGTAAAAACCGCCTTCTTAAATGGAGAACTAGATGAGGAAATCTATATGGAACAGCCTGAGGGCTTCATACAGAAAGGGAACGAACAAAAGGTTTGTAAACTATTGAGATCCATTTATGGACTCAAGCAATCATCTAGGCAGTGGTACTTAAGGTTCCACAAAGCTATAAGCTCCTATGACTTTGAAATGATCGAGGAAGATCACTGTGTTTATATCAAGCGGTTTGGAGACAACTTTGTCATTCTATCCCTCTATGTTGATGACATACTACTGGCTGGTACCAATCTTAAACTAATAAAGATGATCAAAGAGTGGTTATCCTTGAACTTCGAGATGAAAGACATGGGCGAAGCAGAATATATCTTAGGCGTTAAGATAAGAAGAGATCGTTCTAGAAAATTGCTGTCATTGTCACAAAAGGCATACATAGCAAAGATTCTTGAGCGTTTCAATATGAGAGACTGCAAGCCTATGGATACCCCTGTGGTTAAGGGACATAACCTAATGAGGAAATGCGCCCTACAAAACAATGCGATATAGAACGCATGAAGAGAGTCCCATACTCAAGTGCCGTTGGCAGCCTAATGTACGCCATGTTGTGTACCAGGCCAGACATATGCTTCGCAGTCGGACTTGTGAGTCGATTCCAATCCAATCCAGGAGTCAAACACTGGGAAGCTGTAAAGAGGATTATGAGATATCTAAAAGGAACCATGGACTATGAGCTATGCTATCAAGGAAATGGCCTTCGTGCGGAGGGTTATTCCGATGCTGATTGG